CCATCCACCACATTTGGGTAACTTCATCCGATCCTTGAAGAAAAAAGCTTCAAAAGCATAGCACAAATGACAAATTAAACCTCCAGAAGACAATGGATGCATTCCAGCAAAGCAAAGGGAAAATCATTGGACCAGCATGTGAACGAGCAGGCATCACCATCGATTGGCTTCATGGCTGTACAGAGGACTTGAGAGACTTTGACTTTACAAATGAGATGGCCATTGAGTTTGGCAAGTACAAGAAGGCGAGTGGGGATAAAATAACATGGCAACATGTGACAGAGTGGTGGCCGCGACTTTGTTTCAGCAACTGTCAAAAAAGAGGCAAAATGTGGAATTCCCGATTTCCCTATTGCCACTTTAATTAGTATCTTTATTTGCATAATTGAAGGTTCATAGATGATTACAACTAGAAAACAGGTGGAATACATCATAAACAATATTTGTGCAACGTTTCAGAGCTATAACAGTTATAGTTAGTGAGATATTTCATTTACGCATATTAATAAGGCAGATTTCCCTATTTCTGCATTAATTAGTATCTTTATTTGCATAATTGAAGGTACATATATGATTACAACTAGAAAGAATGTGGAATACATCATAAACAATATTTGTGTAAAATTTGAGAGCTATAACAGTCATAGTAAATGAGATATTTCATTTACGCATATTAATTAGGCAGTTTTTCCCATATCCGCTGTACTTAAGGAAATTAAATATTGTCCTCATTTGCATATTTGTTCGTTTAAAAAGCTGAAATTTGTTTGGGGGTGGTGTTTAGTATAACAAACTATTGTGCCGAATTTCAATGCTGCAGCACTTCTGTTAACTAAGTTATGGTATTTTGCATATTAATTAGGTGGACTTAGTTATTTTTCCAAGTTTTACACTCGGTCCATTTGAAAAAATTGGGGGGAATGCCATTTTTGAGTGATCGCCATTCCAATATGAACTTGAGAAAATGCCTTTTTTTCTGGACTTGAGTTGAAGAAACTCACCTGTATAATGGATAAATGGAGGAAAAACAGGGTTATTGACAATAAATACAATTTTATACACTGTCAAAGTTTGCAAAAAGTCATTTTTGTCAAATTTGGTCATTTTGGGCAGAAATCGGACCAAATTCGGCATTTTTAAATGCCCGTATCTCAAAAAGTACACAACCAAATTCGGTAATCTTGGTGTCATTTTGTATGTTTTGCAGAGCTGAATCCAAATATATAAACAGTTTAGTCAAATACACAACTTTAAAAAAATGTTGACATGCCTAATATTATGATATTAAGCTTGCTTAGCACGTTTGAAAATATCAATGGGAAATATTTTTAAATAGATACAATAACAGTTCCTACCATGCCATTTATTTAATAAACAACATCAACAATAAAATGAATACCCACCAGACATTTTAGCAAGGTGAATAGGGCCCTCGATCCAGGGGTCAAAACGCTTCACTTCAATCAGCAGATCAGGGTGATCATCATGGTGAGTTTGGCATGTCAACAACCACATTGACAACCTATGAAAAGAGCACGTGGAAACCAGCTTTGCGAATGTGACGACCCCCTAAGTTGGTGTAAATTTATTTTGTGTTTTAGAACATAAAACATTTTTAAAAATATTTTCCACATTTACTTAAAAGATTAATAACTTGTTTTAAATCATGCATTTTTGTGGCCTAAAATGTCTAAGAGTTTACACGGGAAAAATAAGGTATTGCGATTATGTAAAATGTCCAAGGTCGTTTTTTTTTTCCTAGGTCAATTAAGGGGTCTCGAGGCGTAGAGTTCGAAAACCGTGTTAGAAAGTGCGCCGACCCTTTGTTACGTGCGCAAGCAAAGCGAAAGAAAATCCGTCCTAACATTTCCTGACGATCGTAACACAACACGACCAAAAATCGCGGTATGTGCTGGTTATGGAGAGTCAAGTCTCAAAATGTGGCGATCGTGAAGTGTAGGGCCAGGTTCTAACCTATAAGGGAACAAAATCCAATTTACAATTGGGCCTATTGGACGTAGTGACAGTGCCTTGTGGTACACCAGATGTAACGGCTGCTGGGAGTGATGCATGCCCATTATTTACGACTTGTTGGGTACGGAAATCCTGAACCCATGTTGAGATTTCCCCACTTAATCCATAATATTGAAGTTTGGAGATAAGACGACGGTGCGGGACTTTGTCAAAGGCCTTGGTAAAATCAAGCACTGCGACATCAACTAAGTTGTTCCTGTTGAGTTCCATGCTAATGTCATGAATTGTAAGGATGAGTTGCGTTTCCGTTGACTTTTTAGCCTGGAATCCATGTTCAAAATCGGTTAAAATATGCTCGTTCTCCAAATGTTTCATCACATGGCTGTGTACAATGTGCTCCAAAGCCTTGCAATCCACTGAAGTGAGTGAAACAGGACGGTAGTTTGCTGCACAAGTACGGCTCCCTTTCTTAAATATTGATGCAATATTTGCTTCCTTCCAATCTTGTGGTACTTCACCCGTGTAGATTGAACATTGGAACAGGTCCTGTAGTTTCAGAAACCAAGGTTGAATTCCGTCTGGACTTGGTGCTTTGTTGGGCTTATTAAGCTGGCTGAGGAGCTCTTCAACTCCCTCTTTGGTGATGATGAGCTGGCCAATCTGTTCGTACGGACTAGCACCAAGTTGGGGCAATTCCCCAGGAGGCTCCTTGGTAAACACACTCTGAAACTGTTCATTCAAGATGTTCGCCTTCTCTGTATCATCGCTGATAATCTTTCCATCTTTCTCAAGGTCTGCGACTCCTGGGTTTTCTTGCCTTAACTTTTTAATAAATGTCCAGAATTTTTTAGGCTCCTCCTGGATGGCAGATCCCAAGATTTCTCTGATGTATGTAGAGCGAGTTTTTTTGATGAGTTTATGTGTATTTCTCCTGTAATCACGGAAAACTTCCCAATCAGCAACCTTTCCTGATTTGATGGCCTTATTGTATAGACGTTGCTTCTTTTTAACAGCCCGTCTCAGTGCCCTATCAAACCAGGGCAAGTTGAAGCGGCTAGATGTCATCTGGTGAGGAACACATTTTTCCATGGTTTGGAGAATTGCTGTCTTGACGCAGTCCCATTTTTTTGTTACAGTCTTCCCTTTGTTGGTCTTGAAGTATTTGTCTGTAAAATCTTCCAAGGCTTGTGTGACACCATCAGTGTCAGTTTTGTTGCGCAAGAAGATTTTTCGCTTCACTTGTCGTTTTCTAATCGGGGCAATCCTTAAGTCCACTATCACTGAGCTGTAGTCAGAAATACCCTCAACAACCGTGATCTTGTCCACTATGTCAGGATTGTTGGTGAAAACCAAGTCTAAGATGTTCTTGGTGATTCCCTGTTTTCTTGTGGGTAGATTGACATGTTGAGTGAGCCCATGTTCTTCAACTAGGGTGACCAGTTGTTCTGCAGCTTTAGAACTGTACCCACTTCTGGTTGACACACTGTTGTCACTAATCGATGTTGGGTAAGTTAAAATCTCCAGTCAAAATAATGTTATGAGAGTTAAATTTCCGTCTCGTGTTTGAAAACGCGATGTGGTTGTGCCCAGCGTTTCTTCAATGGTCCCCGTATCCCGAGTGCGATTCCGTTACCGAGCGCAATTAATGCATCGATTATGATAATGAGTAGACTGGATCTTGTTAAACACAAGTGCATTTCGAACGATGATATCGAGTCGGGAACTAGGGCAGCTTTCATGAGCGGAAACCCGTTCAAGTTAGTTCCCGACTCTCTATCATCGTTCAGAATGCACTTGTGTTTACAAAGGAGATCCAGTGATACTCATGATTATTTTTTTGGGTTGCAAATCCGTGAAATTCAACCACTTATAGCACAGACATCATACAGCGATCATTCAATAACATTTATGGCTGTGATCTAACAACTTATTATCTGTACCCCAGTTAGTGGGACTTGTAGAGATAATAATTGTTTATTGGAATTAATCAACTTAAAAGTCCTTAATGCCTGGTGAACTGGATAAAAATTTGGAGTTTTGGCAACGCAAAAAGAGAAATTTCCTTCCTTTGCCGCATAATAGGGATGCTGCGATAATAAGGAATCCGACTATACCCCTAGAACAATATGGTTCTCGACTAGAGCCCCATAGTTCTACGGCTACTTGTCATGCTCGTGGGGAAAATCAGCTGGACATCACTTGACACCCTGTGCACAATGAGACCGGTCTGAAAAGTGTTTTCTTACTAGTATAGTTGGACTCCCTATTATCGCAGCATACCTATTATCGCAGCATCGGAAACTTCTCGTTTTTAATTGCCAAAACTCCTTCATTTGGCGATATTTATCCAGTTCACCAGGCATTAGGTAGGGAGTTCATTTTTTTTTTCTCTTACAACCCTAGATTTGGTATCACTGGAAAGAGAGTCACACGACAAAATCAATAACGTTTAAATCATTTTGTACAAACTTGCGTTTTGGAGATATAATAATTTAAATGGCAATATTCAATGAAAAGATTCTGTAATTTTTATTGTCAAAATATTATTATTTTAACACCTCTAAATTTTCCAACAAAATTCCAAACTTATTTTAATATCTTAGGAATCCTTATAAAATAAACAATAATTGGATTTTTGAATCAGCTTTTTATCTCTCATTACAAAAAAGTTAATAATTTTTTTCCCTTAACACCTCACGATTGTCAGACATGTCCGAGCCATGTCTGGGCCTATACACCGCGATGAGACACCACACAGCCCTGTTTGTTTGAATGGCGCCCTCGGCTTCAACTTGTGTGCCATTTGCACCCCTTCATGCACTTGGGATAGAACATGCCATCAATTTCATCACACTAAACAATGATTGTACCAGTACATGTGTATTGTCCTTGTACCAGTATGTAATGCTAATGTATGGCCATGGTATGACCGTGTGTGCACATACTGTATATGCATTGTCCTTTCAGAAACACACGCTGTATTGAAACCCGTGTTAACCATCATCAATCGTTATTTTAATTTTTAGGTTTATTCATCATTGCAAGTAGAAGTTGTGATATCTAAGATGTCAGTTGCCGTCACTAGTCGTCATCACCACTCTGGTTCCAACCACAGTGGCTCTGCTCTCCCACGTGATGGATACAGAAACAAAAGCAAAGTCAAGCATTATGGCATTGAGGTTGTCAAAGGTGTAACATGGAAAGGATGGGAGCCTGGTGGAGAGTACACAAAGAATGTCATTCTCAAAAATGTCCAAGTCAAGACACAGAAGCTAAAGTACAGGTACTTGAATATAGGGCATGTTGTTGAATTCCAGTTAAAGTCATGCATTCTTGAATAATTTAGTGTTTGATCATTTGATATTGGATTCAAAATTGCATATGCCTGTCAGGAATTAAATTGGCAGCCGATCAGGATTAACATGCGGCTGTAAAAACTAATAAATATTAAGATCATCATGTATGTATCATGAATATATATTTTTTTCAAGAAAGCTGACTAGGTGATATTGGAAATATTTTAAAGGTGCAAATTGGAGCTACATGTAGCTACAAAAGCTGTACCAAATTTTGAGCTTTATTTGTGCCTTATTAAACCTGGATGCCCCCAGTAGACTTCCTTGTGGACAGTGTCTGATCAGCGATAATGGTCCTTGTAAGGCCCTAACCAGTCTAAACTGCACTAAAAGGGAATGTACATCATTGGCTTTTGCTGTAATTTTTAGAAATGAACTATTTGAGGGGTTAGTATAATAGATCAAATATTGTTACACTGACATGTTTGAAGTTTTGAGTTCGAAAATGCTGGAAAAAAACAAGAAAAACAAAAATGTTCAAGTAGTCTGGTTCCTTGACTCCACTAAAGATAAAATGGATCAATTTATAGACGCCGGAAAATTGTAAGGTAAGGGAACCAGTCTAGCTGGCCTGCACCCGTTCATGAACATGTAACCAATAGCAAACAAAATTTGGACTGAAAAAAGTGTAAAGTTGGATATATATAAATAGTTAGGTGTTTCCAACGGTGGTCGGCCGACCACTGTAGGAAATGTATACAAAAATACCATTTTCTTGAAAATGACTTCACACCAGGTGCCATAATTTTACAGGATGCTTTAGACTGTCATTTACCAACATCTTAGTAAGGTATTTCGTAAAACTTGGTAGTTTTATTTTTCGATGTTTGCAAATGTTGTATATTCCCTTTAATGCTCTCACCTTGATATTTACGGTAATTTGTTTTCTATGTATATTTGTTATTTGTCTTGTATTTGACAGCTCTCCGAGCACTCGCTTCTTTTCAACGCTTTATCCTGAGCCTATTGTTCTGAGTGCTGGCACAAGCTTCAGTCTACCCATCACCTTCAGACCACTAGAAAAAAATCTTTATGTGGACAAGATTGAATTTCAGACAAATGTAAGATAACAAGTTTCTTAGGCATTTTTCTAAAACTGTTATTACATCTCAATCATTCATGTCATCCATTTAATTGCACTTTTTTCACAGTTGATTCTCCAGTGCATCAGGGAGGTAAAACTTGCTATCCCTCCTGCATGACACATGTACTATCACCCAACCAATCAATAGAACCAGACAAGTAGTATGTATACTTACGTTAGCTCCTAGACTCCCTACCATGCAACCTACAGTAATGATTTTCTATTCACTCCATAAGGTAATCCAATCAGCAAACAGTTCAGGACAAGTAATTTTTCACTTGTACTCTCAAACCATGTTGTATATTATAACACAACCTTATTAAAAAAGACTTATCAATGTTACATAATCTTGTATCAATTGCTTGATATTTCCTGTATCATCAATTGGTGGTCAACACTGTAAAGATATATGCCCATAATTATGTATTTATTTTCATAAACGCAACTAGCTTAGAAATCATCAGTACATACATCTTACTACATTGTACATGTATGAGATGTCAAGACAGCAAGACTGACTTTGTTGATTCCCCCCCCCCTCCAGGATGGTGTTTTTGATGTTCCAATTCAAGCCGTACTACCCCAGCATGATCTTTCATTACCAAAGCATCTTGACTTTGGCATGTGCGCATCAATGCACAACATTCAAAGGACGTTTGAGCTGAGTAATACAAGGTATTTTTTATGATATCGGCAAATTCCATCCAAAAAAAATGAAATTATTTAAAGTGTAGACATTGTCACATTGGCTTTGGTAGGCATCCATTTTGTCACCTGATTTACTGTTTACAGTGTTTGAAGTAACATATGAACATATTGAACAACAGGTACAATACTGTACGGAATTTGCATCGGGGAGGATGTAAATGAAATAATTGGTCTTGACCTTCATTGCCATAGTGTGAAAGTGTGAAAGAGATAAATTGTATACATTTGTTTATTGCTGATGTTTTTCAATTGACTCTAGTGAATTGGCAACCCGGTTTGCTTGGTTGACGTCCAGTCCCTTTGTACTAGAGCCGTCAGAGGGAACCCTAGCTCCTAAATCCCGATGTACCATCTTGGCTACATTTAAACCCACATCTGCCTTGGTATATGAAACAGTTGCTGAGTGCCGTTATGGGGATGACTTGTCACATAAGAAGACTCTTCCATTGGAGGGAATTGGTAAATATATATTCTTGCCAAAGCGTATGATTCAATCCATGTTTCCTTAATTTTAACTGTCGTAGTATGGATAATGTTTACTGGTATAGAAAAGCTTCGTGCTTCACCAGCCTACCATGTTTTTCATGATAACCTTTCTTTTTTATCATTTAATTAAAGGTATGACTGATTTTGCCCACTTTTTGTAGGTAAATATCCCCATTTGTTGGTGAGCTCTCCTGGCAAGATTCCAAAGGCTATGGATAACCTGAATATGGAGAGTGTCATAGCATTTGGAGATGTTCCAATTGGAGCCACAGTAGAGAAATCACTCCAAGTACATAATCTCTCACCTGTAAGTGAATGCAGCTTTTATGCTATGAGTGCCATTACATTCTTTTAAAAAAAAAATAGGTTTTCAAAACTATCAACGGTCAAAACTTTTCTAATGGCCCATTTCAATTCATATCAGTTCATGTCCCAGACAAGTTACAGGCATTGCATCAGGTATACATGTAAGTTGCAGGATTCTGAACAACTTCCCCGCAATCTTCCCGCTGTGAAGTTATCAGTATTGGTGAGTCAAGCAGTTGCCAATGAAAATTTCCCCGGAACATGTCTGGGACAAATGCAGAGCCTTTTACGGACAGAGTGAATGATTCTCCCCACAACTTGTCTGGAACTCGTACCGGATATGAATTGAGATGGGCCTTAAGTTTATGAATTTAAGCTCCTGTGATGTTATTTAAGTATTGGATCGTTGTTTCATGTGGTATTTGTTTAAGTGGACGTGTTCTGGAACCCTTTGGAAATTGGTGCTTTAACTGAATGGTTGCTTGGTGTACATGTGTATAACAAATAATAGAAGCCAAGTCAATATGTATACAGGCTTTGAAAGTAAAAAGTTCAGATGCTTTGAAAGTAAAAAGTATTCACACAAAAGACATAAAAACTGAAGAGTTCTTGTTGCCTAGTCCAATATGACATGGACAATGGTTATGCATTGATGTCTTTTGTTTTTGTTGCTGTGATACATTGTAAATTTCAAAGTCTATTGATATTTTGGGGGATTGTTGCTCATCTTTGAAGCAATCAAGCTGAATCCAGTTTCAACAAAATGATTCCATGTATTTCTCCGCTTTGAGCAGAAAATTATTTGTCTCAGCAGCAAAAGCAATTATATCTATGCGTGAACAGATTCACTTGCTTGTAAAAAATTAGCCGATTTCTGTCCGGATAACATGTGTAGCTTTAACAGTTATTTGACTATTTTTTGTATCATATTCTTTAGGTGGATGTACCATTTACAGTTGAGCACCCGACATCAAGCACATGCATTGATACTGTCTTTTACTGCAGTCAAGCAAGTGGAATTGCTTCACCACAGAGTCAACTTCAAATTCCAGTAAATTCTATTTTTGTGATGAGAGGGACTATTTTTTGTTGTTTTCTGGTAACAGTTAGAAACTAATACTGAAACAATGTTGAAGTGTGGACACTGTATTGGATTTTTACAAGGTGTTCATTTATTGGTGACAATAAATGGTTTTCACATTGCCTTGTCATACCCTGAGAATGAAGTATAAACCACACTGTTTTGCAACATTTCAGCATAACGTCACCACGGTATCTGTTATGATGATTTTATGAACAAGCCAGCAGCCCCAAGTATTAAGTTTAGTAGCCTAGATGTCTGCACTCGTAACTAGAATGTAGTAGACTCAAGCACGTTTTTGATGTGTTTCCCTCAAGTTCTTATAGCATCATGTCATGAGAGGTTTCACCCTTTCCTTAAAATGCACCTTAACCCATTTTACTTCCTTCAAATGTCTAAGCGTTGACAGCAGTTAATGTGACTATCAAAATGGTATATACGTTCTTTGTTTCAAATTTGTGAGGGGGAAAAAGTGGACAGATTAGTTTTGTTCTGCCATCTATTTCATTGTCCAAACATTGCCAATTTTGCATGTAGGTGAGATTTCAGCCACAGAATGTGAATGAAGAGAGTGTGGACTATCTTCATATACATGCCATTGGCAAGGTCAGCAAGACAGTGGTCAAACTGGTTGGAAAATGCACGGGTGAGTATTGATACATTGTGGTCTCATACCATTCAGCATGTTTGGATTCCATTATTTGCTTTTATGTTCAGGTTTGTACAATCAATATTTTTAGATTTTAAGTGAAAAACATTGCCAAAATGCATTCTTTTTCATCAACTATAATAATAAGGGAATAAATTGGCCCCTAGAAGTCGTTTTAAACGTACTTAAATACCTTTCGGTCAAAAAGTGTCAAATATTCACAATTTTCCAACAATTTTGTCCAACAATTTTACCTCATGTTTTGTGAAACTGTGAAACACCCCTCTTGCCATGTCTATGGTATGTGCCTCGCACACCTTGTGCTAAAAATTCCCTTTTTTTGGAGATTGGCACACCCACAGCACGTACTGCGTGATGTGGTGCATACTGCGTGATGTGGCGCAGAACGCAGTGGTGCAGGAATAAAGTGTTTAAAAACCAATTGGTGTTTTATCAACCAATTAAAACCACCCACATGGCATGCTTTCGACCAATAGGAATGGGTAAACTGTCATAGGTATTTATGAATAAGAACTAATGCTTGGCATAATCACTGTTGAATCCTAGTACAAGATGGCCTTTGGTCTTGGCACATGGTCAACGTACACTGATTGGAACCCCAGGTTTAACCTTCAGTTAACTTGCTTCACATGGTGTTATTGCAAACCACCATGCTCATTGACAAGTCTAATGTTTATCTTCATTCTACAGGTCCGCAGGTTAGCCTTGGAAGTAAGGTTTTGAGCTATGGACTGATTAACACTGGTCAGTCAGGTACAGGGACTATAGATATAATCAATCAGTCTGGTGTAGAAGCAGTCTTCCAGGTAATGCCATCATGCTTTCCTTTGCAATTCTAGTATGTGTGGTAGATCTGTGCACTGTCAAAAGACTGACAAGACTTGTTTCTAGATTGCTGTAAATCATTGAAAATTGCATGACACATGAATTTTTAATACAGGTCTTTATAAAGTAATTTCCTATGTTGTTGGAACATTGAATAGAGTACCAAAGTGTGCAGTATATTCTGGTCCATGCCCATAGCTTAAGTATGTGAAGACCTGCACCAGTGCGTGAAACAGAACAAAGACAGCTGACATCAGACTTCGGTACTCTGTTAAACATTCACGAAACTGTTGTCAAAATAACGCTTCAAAACCTCCTACAATCGACAATAGGTTATTGACTAAAGGTAATAAGCTTTGTTTGGTGTATGAAGAGCTAAGATAACATGATCAGAAAGTGTGGAGCTTCAAGTCTTCTGAACCTGGCTCATGCTAGCATGAAGCAAAAAATGACTACAAGGCCTGAGACTGATCATTTCAATCAAGTTACTTGTTGTTATCCTATTTAGTTCATGATTGACAGTACTGAGAGTGCATTCAAGTTTGGGGTTCATTGTGGCAAGATTGCAGGCAACACAACACAGACCATCATTGTTGTCTTCAAGCCAACTCATCCCATCAATTACTACCGCAGGGTCACGTGTGTTGTTCAGAACCAGGTGAGTAAACTACTAGCTATTCTAATCTCAGGGCAAATCTGTTAGCTCAAAGATAACCCACATGTACATTGACAAGAGTCTCAAGGTGACATGGATTTTTTTCTTCGGTTGTAAAGGTCAATTATAGAGTTAAGCTTGGAGGTTCTTTTGAAAACAGAACATACACACTTCGTTTACACTCGATGCAGCATAGAGGGATAGCATCCTGCAGTTGTAATAAAACCACAGGGAAGCTAATCGCAAATAAACTGTGGCGCGTTTATACTCAATCCCGATCCTGCTTCCATCCTCGATTTTACAACGGCAGGAAGGGCATTGAGGCATTCAGTGCAGAAATGTAAGATTGTCATTCTTTATTGACGACACTCTCTGCTTGTCTTTTACGATAAATCAAAATGGATGATATACTTAATGTTTTATTCACGCTGGTCGCCCGATTTTTGTTGTAATCTAGCTTTATCACTCCTCCACACATTGTCCGCACTAGTCCACAAATGTCATCGCTGTACGTTCTGTCACATAAAGAAGCCATGGCTTCAGAACGACAAAGTTATGTTACTTTTCAGTGCACATGTTTACACACTTTTTAGCTGTATTTAACTCCCAAAACAATCAAACATTTACTGGGAATATGAAAAGATCTAACTTATCAAATCACGAACCTAAAACAACATAAAATTGGCATAAACAGGACTAGATAAATGATTGGATTTGGGAACTCGTCGTGTGTAGCCATTTTTTGGCAATTGTGTAGTTAAGGGCGCCGTGCCAAGTTAAGAGAAAGTAAACCAACTGTTCAGGCTATTGGAGTCGCCCAACTAGCTGACTAGTAATAGATCTTTAAAACCAACCAGGGTGTGACTTTTTTGGGGAATCTTCGGGGGTAAAATAGCGATAAAAGCAACAAAAGACAACATAAAAATAACCATTGATGACAAGCATTGCTATCGCCACAATTAATGCTAAATTCTGTTGGCATCAACTGGAAAATGCGTAAGAAAATTGCATTTTTCACCCCAAAGATAATGTTCAAATTTACCCAAAAAATGGCTTTCATAGAATTTCAAAAGGACTGCTTAAGGTTGCAGAAATCATTTTGGAGTGACCAAAACACTTCAAGGACTAGAACGAAAGACAAGCCCATCACTACACAGTCTCCACTTTCATGCACGTGGAGGAAACACTGATTGCTTCCGGCCGAGTGCCAACCGCGCTTCTATACTATGCACAAAACCTTAATGGGAACCATCACACCGTTCATATCCCTTGCAGCTCGTGGCTCATCATTATGTTAGGCAGGCTTTTCTAAGCTGACCAGATGGTTGTTTTAAATATTACGGCGGTCTGAGAAAGGGGATTGAGGAAGGTGGAAAGATCTGGATCAGACCTCGATCCACTTAGTATTTACACCTGCCATCGATCCCCCCTGATCCTCCTTGCTGGATCAGATCCTGTCCCCATCCCCTTGCAGGATCCATTGTAAACGCAGTGAAAGATGAACACAGTCTTGTGTCAGGTACTTTGGTTCAGTTTGTTTGAGATTTTAATATGAATATTTCTCTAACCTCGTTGTGACCTGATTTTTGTTGTGCTCAGGATCCTCTGTTTCTGGATCTGATAGGGACATGCCATACAGAGCTTGTTAAACCAGCTGTGTTGCAGCCTCAACATCTGAGCCGATACAGAATACATCAGGCTCGTGGCTTCTCTGTCTTCCCTCCTGAGGTAATACTGGGTGAAATACACAATGGTCTTGAAGCACTAAGATATTCAGCATAATGTATGCAGGAAAATAACCTATAGAAACAAGGCATGAAAAGGCTCCTTAAATTACTAGGAAATTACATAGGAAATGTATTTGTGTACCAATAAAATCTGTACATCAGGGTCCTTATATTGACTTCAATATTTTTTTCTTCTATATATAAACTGCACTTTACATGAAAGTATTTGCTTTTGTGGGTGTGTTTTTTGCATCAAAACATAAAATTTAAGTGACACTAGGTGTAGACTCATGCAAAGTTGCTTTACAGTTGACTCAGACTGTGACTGCATTGAGTTGTCAGTCATTCATTTAGGGACTAAATTTGGTTTGAGCTAACAATTAAAAATTACTAAACATTGACCCTGAACAGAATCGTGACCCAAAGATCCTAGATAGCCTCCAATAGGTTTATATTATTTCAGGGTTGTAATGATGATAATAGTACAATGGTATAATGCGTACTTCATTGTCTTTGTGTCTTGGTACAGCAATTGAATGAGATTTTGAAGGAAGGCAAGTTACAGCTTGATGATAATGGATGTTTAATACATCAACAAGCTGAGTCCGTAGAAACCTACCTGAATCCAGAGGCTCTAGAACCACCTATGGCAGAATATTTCAATGATGGCTACTATGGATCTACCAATGTAAGTTTAAATAAGTACATGAAGATATAAGAAAATATCTTATATCTGAATATCGTTCTATTTGGGGGATTACTTTGGCTAAACAGGATTCAGGGATTTAAAAGCAAGTCCAGGTCAACCAAACAATATGTAAAAGTAAGATGACGTTCAAAAATGGAAAAAAGGATTTTTTTTGTTGGAATAAAACATCCCATTTGACAATTTATTAATAGATGAAAATCAAATTTGTTGAAAAGCATGGAGAAAGCAACTTGAATTGTCCCCAATTCTGTACCCTCACTGAGCAACATTCTAGCACATGCAATTATGAAAACTGTATATGAGTGAATTACAAAAAAACTTTGAAATCTTAAAGCTGAAGTATATCACTTCATGGGTCTTTAAGATGCTTAAAAGGCATTTGAATGAATATTCTGCATTTACTATAAAATGCATTGGTACTTTTATCCACATGTGTTGGAAGTGATACAGAGTGGTCTTATAGAGACGGTGGCATTTGTTATTCTATCAGGATTGGCATAAGCTATTTGAGATCACAATTAGCAAGCTATAAATTGAAATTCTCATTACACTTACATGTACTTTGAAGAACGAGATTGCAAAGGATGTTTTAAAGTTGTGCTGACTTGTGAGATTATTGGAAAGACATTTATTTTTACCGTTGATAGAAATGTCTACATGTTGGTATGGATACCATCCAAGTAGATTTTGGCCAATGTCTAAATCTAAGTCACATCGAGTCCAAGACGCTGAATGTCACCAACCATACCAAAGGCAAGATGACAGTGACATGGATGACAGATGACACCAATGTTTTCTGTGTCACACCAGTCTCATGTGACATCCCACCCCTCAAGATGACATCATTCAGGGTAGCCTTCAAGCCAGTAAGGACATCTTTATTATACCTTCCATCTTGCTTTATTTAGGAGTATTAATTGTACACACTATTGCCAATTTGGTTTTCACTCATTCTGACCTGGTTGCAAAGTTTCAAGGTGATAACAACCATCAACCTGCACTGTTTTCCACTGAAAGGGTAATAGTGAGTAGGATTGGGCTCAGTATTCACAGTTAACATCAAAGCATCTAATACTCATTGAAATTAAAATTACAAAGTACACCATACTTTCCATTACTTGTAAATGCGGTATCCAATCAGGATACAGGGATCTATATTATATGCACTTTTAAGGAGGAGGTTGAACTGAAGTGCACCCTGTGAACAAGATATCAATCGATATATAACCATAAATATTAGATTGTGTTGTGTAACCATAAGCATTAGATTGTGTTACCTCCTGTAACCTGCACCCAATTTCATGGCTCTGCTTACCACAGAAGTCAGTGCTTATGATTACGATTTTGTGCTAACTGCAGTGGCAGAAAAATTGTGTGCTAACCCTGTAAGCACAGAATCCAATAGTTAAGGGATGTACGATGCACAGAAGGCAAAATTCCACGCTAACCTGTGAAATATGCTAACCGTATGCACAGAGTTTTCTGCTACAGTAAGCACAGATTTTTCGCTCATGGTAAGCAGAGCCATGAAATTGGGCCCTAGTTATTGTTTTAATTGTTCTTCATGCTGACAGCCTTACATGTAGGCAGTGTTTTATGCAAATCAATTAATCTACCATTTTGCTTGGACTCCTTTATGCACTTTATGTTCAAACTTGTGCCGTCTCAATAGTTGCAAAGAGGGAGTTGGTGGAGACCACTGGGAGGGACATTCAAACGCATTGACAAAGACACCATGGGTTTGTGCACATTCATAAATAAGTTGTGCGTATTTGGAGCCATATGTGCGTGCACCAGTGCGCAGGCAGCATGCCCCTCCTTCTAGGGCTGTCTAAAGTGGTCTAAGCACCATCTATGTTCATGCACAGAGTTCCTTAAGAATACTGCACTTCAACCCCATGGATCATTTGCATTGATCAGCAGCTGTCTTTCAGCATTCAGTAATAACATGTCTAGTGGATTGTTTCTTTGGCAGGGAGCACCCAATCAATTTTTTGCTGCAGAGCTGGAGGGATACGCATTTTACAAGGTAAGTAGTGATAAAAATACATTACAATGTATTACCTTAACTGTCAGAAAGAGTTAAATGTTCACCTGAACGTACTTAAGATGGCAAATACTTCATGTTAGCTTTTTTGTTTCAGTATAGAGGCATTAGGCTATACAATGTAAGACTATTGATTTACGTGAATGAGGAAACATGCTTTCTGCAAATGACTTGGCCTATCATTGCATTTTCATAGTGGAGTGTTATGGTCAATAATTTTTAAGGCTGTGCAGTAGAATGCAGTATTTCAGGCCTTCTGGGCTTAGATTTCAATTGTTAAGACTTTTTTGGTGGGGGAGGGGGTAAGCCTGGGTGCTATTTGGTTTTTCCGTACCACATATTCGCTATAGGACACATATTAAGTACATGTAGTTGATAGATCCATTCTGATGCCCTATTGATCCATATTTGCAGAGGGCATGCAAGACACATGAGAACGGGTTCTGAATCTAGCCATCATGTGCATGCAACGCATTCAATGGATCATATAACACAGATATAACACATGTGCATGTGCATATCTGATCATTGTACAGTTATGTCATGTGGTCACTCATCACATCAGTACAAACACATTCCAAGAAAAGTGTGCAGTTTTCAAACCTGCGTAGAAAGCAATCTGCAAAAGAGAAAACAAAACAAATACATTTTTTTGTAATGTAAATGGTGATGAAAATTTAAGAAACAAATCAAGATAGGGGTTTTGAGTCAAGCCTTTTTTTATCGATTGACATCCAGTTTGTTCGGTCTACACAGACAAAGCCCAATCATGCTTTCAAGGTCGAAACAAGCGAGTGATAGACGTAGTAATGACGCAACGGCCTCGTGGTCTGCACAACCAATAGATTCTGAGATCTACATGGGCACAATGTCACTGTTGAATTGTAATATCGACTGATCATCGTGACCTCCTGACATACAGTATTTTGCATGACTCCTCCATGAAAATAGCACTAATTTATGTGCCCATAGCGAATATGCAGCCCAGGTAACCCCCATGTTCACCCTACATCACAGTTCACCCTACATCACAGTAGGCTAAACATGTTCTTTTCTGCAGATTCCTTCAGAGTGTTTGTTTTCCTCATTGATTACTTTTTGTATGTGTTTTAATTCCTAAATCAAGCGACTAAAAGCAGGACATCATTTCTACCTTGACATTATTTGCAGAGTATGCGAGACTATCGTTTGGTGCAGGATGAGACTTTCTGCCCTCCATGGTGTCTGACTGTTTCTGCTATTGGTCATACCTTCCAACCAAACAATCAAACCTTCTTGCCTAAGCTTTCCCTTGACACAAATAAAGTGGTATGTCTTATTGGTATCTGTTTTGTCTGTTTTGTGATACATCATTCAAGTATAACGTGGTTTGAGGGGAAGAAGTGTGGAATTATGAGGTTATTTTTGCTAATTTGACTAACCCTGATGCACAGTCAACCATGAAAGACAACACTTTACACTACTACTTTTTGATTTGATGTTCAGACAGGAAGATAGCATCCAAATCTATCAACTAAATCAAAAATGTATAGATTGGGAAGTTTATGGTGAAAACTAGGAATGTCATATTTATTGATGAATTGATAATTGCCGTCTTAACTTGGCCAAGGTGGGGGTGTTTAATACAGAGTTCAACTCTCAACTGTCAAGGAAGTAGAAGGCACCATTTGAAGTAAAGTGCACTATTGAAATCAAGATATTGTTGTTAATTGGGTCCCTTGATTACAAACCATGTTTGCCACTATCTGATTAGCACAGTGGTAATGTCAATCGTTACATTTATCATCCATGACATTTTCAATTGGCAAATCTTTGTCAGCATCCCAACCTTGGTTGAAGTAAGTTTTGGTTTCTGATGTTTTTGGGTTGTAAAGAGCATTTTGAATTTTATCCAAAAAAAACAATTGTGTAAGTAGCTTCAGCAGCTAGCGACTCTCACTCAGAGTTGTATGTACATATGTGACCTGTTCTGTCAAAATCAGACTTTTCTGGGCATAAAGTCAAAAATGAGATTTTGCATATTGTTAAAATATGTGACCTGTTCTGTCAAAAGCAGACGCTTCTGGGCAGAGATTGAAATTGAGATAGGGCCAAAAAAACGCTGTGGGGGTGATTTTTATCGATTTTCAAATGTTTGCATATTTGTAATCCTGAACATGTCTAAAATATATTATAAAAGTTTGAAACCCCAATTTGAACTCTACATATGCTATTTTTGATGATTTTGATAAGGTATATCAGTTAAAGAAATAACTGTTTTGTGACGTTCGTGGCCATTTTCTCCGTTTTCTACTTTTTGACACAATGAACTTCAAAATAGCATAACTCTGCCCAGGAAAGACCGGTTTCAAAAATTAAACAACCTATTAAAAGGAAAAAGAACATATGTTAACAATATGTAAAAATATAATTTTCGACCTTATGCCCAGAAAAGTCTGAATTTGACAGAACAGGTCACATATGTTCTGTTTCCTTTTAATAGGTGGTTTAATTTTTGAAACCTGTAATTCCTGGGCATAGTTATGCTATTTTGAAGTTCATTGTGTCGAAAAGTAGAAAACAGAGAAAATGGCCTCGAATGTCACAAACCAGTAATTTCTTTAACTGATATACCTTAACAAATCATCAAAAATACTATAATTAGAGATCAAATTAGGGTTTCAAACTTTTATAGTATATTTTAGACATGCTCAGGATTACAAATATGCAAAAATTAGAAAATGGGAAAAAAATCACCCCCACAGCGTTTTTTGGCCCTATCTCAATTTCAACCTCTACCCAGAAGCATCTGCTTTTGACAGAACAGGTCACATATTATGTTACGAGTTCATTTTTATGGTTTGGAATATTGAAATCTGTTAGGGTGATTTGTCTCTGGTTTGGGCATAGTGGGTCACAGATTTGGAGATTTTGTGACATAAAATATGGTACATGTACAAGTTTCTCAACCAATAAAATGACATAGATGCCGTATCACAAATAGGAACAATATATACACTTAGCTTTGCATCCATCCACCTTCAGACTATCATTATTGAAATGATATGCAGCTGAGTGGTTTTTTCCTGTAGGTTTTCCCAGCTGTGGATTCAGGAGATTCCATTTACAAAACCATTTTGATAACAAATGATGGGTCTACACCAATTCAGTATGCAGTCCCAGAGGACCCTACAGGGTGAGTATAGCTAAGTATTTGAATACAGCAGAATTGTTGATCATGTATATGCATGAGTTTATAATGCACACATGTAAGTATGACATCTTTAGGGACCTGTTGAGGGCAAAAAATCATAAGAGCAAATTGAAAGCATTTTCATGAAGCTGAAGATTTGGGTTTTATATTGGGTTTCGCCTACATATTAAAAACTGTATACTCAGTGTGCATGGTGTTGTCTGAAGGCTTGCAAGGAAACAATTCACAAGCTTACTCATGTGGGACTCGAATCCACGACCTCCTGCTTACTAGTGCAGACATCTTACCACTCAACTACAGCGCTAACTGGGGTCAGCTGGCTGGTTCGAGTCTCAACATTTGTGTAAAGCGGTTCTTGCACCAATTGAATGTGCAGAAAAACCACAGTGTGCAGTATGTGCATTCATTCAAAAAGAATTATTTTTGATTGATTTTTTTTTTTAAATATGTTTTTGTACTGGCCCACCCTGGCAAGTGGATAGTCCCTGCTTTGATATCAGTCACATATCTTCGAAACATTCTGGTTGCTTTAAAACATACATATATGAATCAAAAGACCAGTATAGTGGGGCAAAGTTCATTTTATTGGATTGGCAGAACAGAACTATCAATTTACAGTTTTAATCTCTGACCAAGTCATCTTGTTAGCTTTTGTTTGCAAGTGTACCACATTTCAAAAGTTGTACTGAATTTACACAAATATATGAAGGTGCATGCAAGAGATGTATGAATACACACACTGACAAGCACTTTGCTGTTGGTACAAGACACTTGCATATGAAAACAATTTTTTCTATATAGCACTTTCCAAGTCAAGCCAAGTAAAGGCCTCCTTACAGACAAGTACCAGCTACTGGTGATCAAAAACACTCCTCAGCAGGAGAATGTCAAGCTAAGACATCAGCTCCAGTGCTGCTTCAATGATGACAGTAAGCACAACAGGACTATTGAGTTACTTGGCTCATCAGAACAGCCTAATGTGCTGCTGGATTCGGAGGTTAGTCTTATTATTAAAGCATGAAGTCTCTTTGAAATATGACTCTGTTATCATCTGAACATGTGCTTTGCAATTTGTATCTAGCTAGAGATTTAATGGAGAATCACATCCGATAAATTATGTTAAATACCAACTCAGGCACCAGAATATATTGTAAGCCACTCTGCAAAAAGAGATATTTCTTATGTGACATAATGTAAGGTGTTAGCTTTAGAAGGGATTAAGCAATACTTAAGACTTTGAATTCTTTTGGTTAAATTCTAAACAACCAAATACGAACAATTTTTATGACACTTTAAGAATTTTATTGGAAGTTTACGTATTATTGCAGTACATTGGTTATTTTTCAAAAGCCTGATTTCTGCATAAATGTGTACAAATATATTTAGGAAAGGTTCATATGCATCTAGACCAGGATGTGTTATAGATGAAAATTATTGTGACGTCATCATAAGTCATGTGACGTCACATTAAATATATTTAGGAAAGGTTCATATGCATCTAGACCAGGATGTGTTATAGATGAAAATTATTGTGACGTCATCATGAGTCATGTGACGTCACATTAAAGGTGCATCTTTCTAAGGCCTATAACTATTCGTCTGATGTGGTTGTAACTTGGTACATAGCTAGATTGGGATGTGTTATAGATGAAAATTGAAGTGGCACTTCATGGTGACGACATGATGACATCACGTGCATGTGACTTCACATTGCAGGTGCATAATTCGAAGCCCTATGAGAATGTCAACACGTATTATCTGGCACCACCTTCAATTGTACACATCTATGGAACTATACATCCGACCTGGATAGAACTTCCATTTGTAACTGTACATGCCAGATGTCTCCCAAATAGTTACCGAAACAGCCCTGTGTTTGTCCGCAAACATAATGGATTAGCATTTGTTTCATGAATGAGGTATTTGTTTGACTGTTGTGTATTAGGGAGTGCTGTTCTTCAAACCAACTTGTATTGGTACTGCATCTCAGCATAGCTACAAAATCAGGAACATATCCCGTCTTCCATTAAAGTTTACTTGGAAATGCCGTCAGGAGGACAGGTCACTTGTCCAAGTTGAGCCAGAGACTGGGACCATCCTGCCCAATGAAATTCAGGTAAATAAGTACATTCCTCTGACATGAATGCTAACAGGAAGGCTACAGTTATAAGCACTTTTATGACAAACACAATATTTGGGTTTATTTGAAGCTCCTCCCCCAACAACTTGGTTTTTTTATGTGTTGAGTTGTCTATGTTTCTTTTTATCTTCAGATTTCACATGTAAGTTGGGAAACAAACGTGGTCCGAATATAATTGATTGGAAGATTGATATTGTGTATTTGCTGACATTTGTGGCCAATGACAAAGGGTGTGATATATATATTCAACGAACAAGAAATCAACTTAATGTTAACAGCCAAGATGACAATGCTTTTGTCCGTATAGGCCCATGTGTGGACTTTTACACCAAGAGAAGATAGGAAGTATGTACTGAAGCCATATGCTCATGTGGAAGATATCAGGCATGAAGGGTGAGTCAGCCAGTGGGATATCTTGACTTGTTAGTATAGAAGAAAGAGTTCTTGATGAGTCTCAAGATGGGGTTAATTGCTCTAAGAAAGTAACTACCACTTGTCATCACTTGATCATTCCAAAGTTTTCTAGTAAAGTTTTAAATTTCTCGTCAAATACAATTTTCTAAACTTTTTTGAATAAATAAAAGCAAACTGCTATGATTGTAACTGTCCATGTAGAATTTGTGCCCCTTGGTAAAAAAAAGTCATCCAATGCAATTTTGAAGATACCAGACTGATTGTGTTATGTGTAGTCATGTAGTATTGTACAAAATGTCTTGAAATGACCATACGTGTGTTTGAATTTATAGAGACATAAAACGACGGAAGCAGTTCAATCTGCGAGTTGTCGGGGAAGGGTCAACAGGGGAAATCAAGGTATGTCATCACTGCGTAAGGTAGTATTGATTCAATCATTAGGAGATAACAGTCTATAGGTTTATTAGCCTTGCTTGTTCATACCTGAGCTAGAATTAGACAGGAATGAATTATTTAAGCCAAAAGTGGATGGAGAACCCATTTGTTTCTTGTCACACTTAAACATCCCGAATTCAGCATGTTAGCTGATTTTGGTCCAAGCAGGGATTTCTATTCCCTTATTTTGCAGCCAGTCCCCTGACAAACGCGGTTTAAGTTGTTGTAGCGATGGGTCTCTTTCAACAAGATGAATCAAATCCAGTCTTGGAAATATTTGCAGCGCTACCCAGGAAATTCCGAGCATACCTTACGCACATGCATTAGCTTGAATATAGCGCACGTGAGGTATGTTCAGAATTTCCTGGGTCACGCTGCCAGTATTGCCAAGACTGGATTTGATTCATCTTGTCATGGACCGGCTGTAAAAGGGGAATCAATTTCAAATCCAGTCTTGGCCCAAGGCAACATGTTAGTATGGAAGTCATGCATGCTAACTGGGAATCATTGGAATTAGTGCCTCACAATGTTTTTTCTGAACTTTCTCCTTTTTACAAGTTAATCAGGGTATAGGAACAGTGCTTGATGCATGTTACGGCGTTTAAGTAAACCATGCATATTTGAATAAAATACTTGTTGGCCACGTTCCATTTGTTGATCCTGTAGATTTGGTCATTTGATCGTTTATATTAAACATTCCCTGAGATTGATAGGCATTTGCTATACACAGAATATGTTAGGTACTTTGGTTATGTCTAACTTATTGAGTGACTTGTAAACATTTTGAAAATTCTCAGTGAATTGTGCACGAGAAACAGAATGTTTGGCTAGTTACTTGGCAGTGCCAATGACTTGACTTACATTTGACTCATATCTGTTGGTGACTCGTGGAGGAATTCCTCTGTAGGTGACTGGACTCAATCATTTCTTCATCCTTAAATACATGTAATCACAATGCAATGAAGCAGTTGACTTGCATTAAACCTTATACAATGCACTTACCATGCAGGCTGAGGACTCTAGCATTGACCTGTCAGATATTGTGGTTGGCACAGCAGTCAGTCAGGATCTGGTCATCTTCAACAACAGCAATTGTAGTCTTCATTATCAGCTTCTTGTGGATCAGGAGTTACATGGAAGTTATGCAGATCAAGCTAGTCAGCAGGATGGATTGGGTAGGATTCGTTTCTATGGGAGGATTGGATGGTATTCTAGCCATTGCTATTGTCCAGGAGCTTGTCATACAGGATGCATTTGACCTTTAACCCTTCCGTTCCATGGGACACACTCCCCAGGCAAACTATACAAACGCACTAAATAAACTAGAAAAGTGCACTTTTATGACCTTATTGTTAATTACAACATGATGGATTCAATATCAGTTGTGAATTCAAAATGATGAAGTCATAGTCCCTAAATTCTTCAAAACCTGCCCATACATGGAGAAAGATCTGTAAGTTTTAAAATATATGGCTGATATTGGCATCATTCACAAGTAATCTCTCCACCCCCCCCCCCCCCCCCCCCCCCCGCCAAAAAGTAAAGAACGGCTTCATCATTGATAGGCACATGACACACAAATGACAGACACACCTTTGATTATCTCTAAATGCGCAAGAAACTAGTTGTGCAAATTGTCAACAAATATCTTGGATGAAATTATTTACAACTGGGATTACATGTGTGTGTTGATCCTTAACAGTAAACAGGCTTTTCCTCTGTTATTGACAACATTTTAAAAATTGAATATTTTTGTGGTCAAATAATGATTTGTAATATAGTCACTGGCACGTTGCATTCCCCTGTTTTATTTTTGTTTTGTTTTTATACTTTCAGCACTGGAGCTAGATGACTGCAAAGGCATTTTACCAGCTCGTTCTCGCCGCATAATCCATGCCACCTTCCGTCCTGTGCGGCGTTTATCCTACACATTCCACATTTGCTATCAGCTCATGTCACCTACAGATTGCCCTCTATCACAAGATAAGCAGAAACTCTGCACAGTCAGTGCAGTAGGGGTTTACCCTAACTTGAAGGTGACTGATGCAAGATGTTATGGCAGTGCTAGTGGTATCAGTAAAGCCAGACTGTGGAGCTTGTTTTCCTTGGACAGGTAACTTGTAGCTATTCATTCATATTGTGTTGTTTGTGTCTGTACAGTAAATTTGTTTTTGTGAATGATTTGAATAACAATTTCTGACATGGAAAATAAGACGGAAATGTGAGGCAACACTCAAACTGAATTAGATTGTGTCATTATATTTCAATTAAATTATTTTAATCAATTTATTTTTTTTCAGGTACATAATCACATCTTGTCTTTTGTCATTTCAAAGATTTGCAAAAGTAGTCAACATTGGTAACATTTTGTTTGAATGGTTTAATATTGTTTTGTATGGTTGATAGCCTAAACACTTGTTTAGAGTCGGACCCATCCCCAGAAGAGTTGACATATACAACGGTGACATGTCGCAGTACAACCCGCAAACCAACTGTCAATACCAGAGCAATTATGGACTTTAACTTCAGCAGTGCTCCCCAAGACAGTCAGCCATGCATTGTTCATCTCATGCTGGAGAATACAGGCACAGTCCCCACAGAATGGTAAGATATCTCGCTGATAAGTGCATTTTCCCATTGCTAAACTGCAAAAGAAAGTTGTTTATTTTCGGGTGAAAGCTAATCAAAACCTAAGACTTCACCATTGAGCATCTTTATAAAATATGAAGTCATTGTTAATTAATTACCCCTTTTGACCACCATTTTTTATTGATTTACCTAGTACTTACATTGTACCTGCATACATTGGTCATTCTTGACTGGAATCCAACCACAAATTTGGAAAGCAACATTATCAGTCCAAACCACATTACAGTCGACTCTCGTTAAAACGAGTTTAGACAAGATTTCGGTTAAAATGAGCATATTTCGTCAGTCCCGACCAAAGTGTGCATATTATTATGAGGGAAAAAATGTTTAATACGAGCTTGGGTGATACGAGATGACGGTTAAAACAAGCACTTTTTGCGGTCTGGCAAGGGCAATTCTATTGTTATCTGTCCATTTCCACGCACATTTGGGAAAACAACCTGTCCATCAACGAACCTATTCAGTTTTAATTGATGATGCTTGCCAACTTTAGCGCTGCGGTTTTTATACCAGAGCACACAATTGTTTGCATTTTCACGTGTTGCATAAGGGGGCTAAAAGTGGACAATAGGAGTCTGCGGTTCCCGGGCTATTTGAAGGATTCTTTATGATGGCTTTCGTGCTGCCCGAACGAACAAGGCAGACAATAGGCCTTTGCGATTCCCGCGCAATCACAGGGTTTCTTTATTGTGCCGCCCAAACGAAGAAGGGCTACAAGGGGCGGTTGTTCCATGCCGTCAAAGGGGAATCTTTACGGCAGTTTCGCGTTCGATCCCGCTCGAATGCACGATCGCGGTAGGCCTTCCATGTTTATTGTGCTTGAAAATAAAATCCCTGGAAACAATAAAATCCCCCCCCCCCCTCCCTGAAAAAAATGCACTTACCAAAAGTAGATGAATCAATTTCAGAAAAAAGTCCGAAAAATATTGAAATACCCTCCCAAAACCTCAGATTAGTTTTGGAGAGAAAAAAATAATGTGTGTGTTAAAAAAAAAAAAAATCCGATAAGTATTAAAATACCCTCCCCAAAAACGTATCCCAAAAGCATTAAAAATACGCATTTTATTATTTTAGGGGGGAAAGTTCAAAATTAGAAAAAACAGAAGAAAGTCGCCCCCCACTTGACTCAAGATACGTAAAATCCCCACTTTTTTAAAATGAATTATTCTCCCACCCATGCTCTAAATCCTAATTAATTGTTGAACAAAAAACACCTGCATTTTCCGCTAAAATTATTTACCGTAATTTTCGGAATATAAGCCGCGGCTTATACGTTGATTTTGCCCATGAAAATGTTTACTGCGGCTTATACACAGAGTGGCTTATACGCCGAGCCTTGAAGAATAAAAATGAAATTCACATGTGTATTTAATGTACTGGTATAAGAAGAGATATGTTGCTGAAATGAATTATCAATTAAGAAAGTCATTAAAACGAACCGAAACCACGTGCCACGTAAAGGTGCCGAGCGGTAAAAAGTATGGTGACATGAAAGCTGTCTTCGATCGACGCTTGCAACAAGCCGTACGTGATTCTAGTGCTGCTGCATGCAGCATGCTTTCCCCCATCGGACCACACCATTTGAGGTAATATAGGGGTGTACTATCTTGGAAACAATAATTACCAACATTTCCGCTGTTTAAAAAAAAGAAAAAAGACGACTAATACCTTTTATGGTGTCCGAAACATTTCTTTATTCGATAATCAGTTGTCCAACGTCACAATATAATTTTTGTACTTGAAATGTATTCAAGAAACGATGTAAACCTCAAAACAGGGACTACATCACCCCTTACAAAATTAATGGATTCTCCCATGAAAATGGCAGCATCGTTTTGACTATTTTCGAAGAATTACGATCGAAACTTGAATACTGCTCGTTAGTAATCACAAAAATTTGATAAGTTTTGAGATAAAAACGGACCTGTATATTTTTAGGACAAAACAAATCAGCATCTGTTGCCACCAAGTGAGATTTGTACGTAGCGCTCCAGTCAGACAACACACGCAATGGGGGAAAATCACGGTGGGTTGCATCATGGTTGCATACTCTCTCACGTGCTGCAGGAAAATGTTGTCATAGGCTGGCGCGGCGCACGCTGCCGCGCCGGGCGATGTATTAACTTTTACGGCCGGGGACCGGACGGGGCAGCCGGCAGAAATTCCCGGTGTTTATTTCTCATCATCAATTTCCACATTTGTTTGTGAGAGTATTGATTGTAAATGATTTGATACAACTTTTGTGGCCCTTTTTATAGCTTCTGTAGTGTAAATGGAACTGGTTCAGAGCATTTTGGCTAGAATTTGGAGGCCTTTACAAAATTGAAACCGCTGCCGTCGGTGCGGCTTATACGCCGGTGCGGCTTATACGCCGACTTCAAATCTTAATTTGCAGATATTTGCGTGCTGCGGCTTATACGCCGCACGGCTTATATTCCGAAAATTACGGTAATGTCACCAGGGCATTAACAATTCAACTCCGACTTACGCCCTCTACTGTCCACATTGAAAATAAATCGCTGGTATCCCCGTCTTCTCGTGCACACTGAATGCAACTCTTCTGTTGGTCACCAATTAAAATGTTAATGTACTTGCGTGCGTGCCTTCACGATCATGCATGCATGACAGGTAGGTGACATCGCATCGGTACAGTACGTGGGCGGGCGGCGACGATTCCGCTTGCCCCGTTGTTGGGTTGAAAGTCAGTTTATTCCTTTTTCTTTATTCTTCTCAATTACCATACAAGTTTTACAGTTACCATACTGTCGTGACTTCATTTTTTTATACATCATAATTTCATGGAGGACATGATTTAACTTTTTGAAGGCAAATGGATTACAATTTCAACAAGACTGTGGCCTATGCATTAGCTACATAAACGATCCATGATGCATGTCGGCGGGTGCGCAAAAAATGCTCGTCGCTTAAGACGGGGTATCGGATTTAACGAGGTATTTTCAGAAGTCCCACGGACCTCGTATTAACGAGAGTCGACTGTACATGTTAAATCACATTACATGCACCCTCAAGAAATAACGTAATTGTGAAAACAAATGAAAAAAATTAAAACAAACTTATTTTACAGTATTGTTGCTTATATATAAGCAAATGTGTAGCTCCAGCTTAGTCAAACTGAATTAGTTCGGTTTTTTTTGTATTGTAGTAGCTTAAGTGTTACATGTTGTGTGTTTGTAATCAAAAGAAATGATTTCCCTCTGAACAGGTCATTTTCATTCCCAACTGATCTACAACTTGAATTAGAGTACTGGGCAGAGACTGGAGACTATGATGCTGATGAATTACATGAGGTTTGTTACCTACAATACTGGGTTATTGGTCTAATGCGTATGCTTCGTATACACAGAGTATTAGCAGTGGATAGGAATTGCAACTTGAAATCACAGTGGAGTGGAATCTGAGCTTATTTAAACTGTTGACAGTACCGAGGAAAATTATTGTCATTTGTGCATTTATCAGATTATTATGAAGCATTTGTACTGTTTAATATCAATATTTGTTGAAGACTGTTTAGAAAATGGTTGTGTACAATCATTTTGAATATCAGTTGCTTCACAGAGAGTGAATATAATTTCATAAACAAACACACTATGATGTTTGAGTCCATGTCTTTCAATTTTTTTTTATATTTCTCTGGTTTATTTGGACTGATTTAGAAATCTTTGCTCACTGAAACATTTAAATTTATACTGGAAACTCCAGTTAAAATTGGGGCACCAAAGTAAGATAAACAAGTGATGATTGGACACTGATTTTAAGCAAGTGTCATTCCAAGGGGCTGTTATTGGACTAGAGGTTCATGTACATTTGTATGATGGACCAACCATTCGGATGTTTTATGTTGTCTTCCTAGATGAGGATCATGGACAACAAGTTGTTTTGTGTTGAGCCTCGCTGTGGCAAGCTTGGGCCAGGACAATGTCAGACCATCACGTTTGCTTACAAGCATAGCTTCCCTGGCACTGATAGACTGCCTGTGCTCTTCAAATTGACAAGAGGCAGAGAGATCTTGGTATGTAAAATGTAATCCCTAACCCAAACTACTGTACCTGCTCCCACTAAACAAATCAATGTGGCACTGTCTACAATTGATCACTCCAGCTATACTGTTTAGGCATCTTCTCATAAATATTGCCGCGTTTTGACCGTTCCGGTCGCCGTGTTATTTCCGGGTTGCTAACGACTGCACAAAACGCGTTTTTACTGCGGCGAAATCGCTCATGCTAAGGCAAGTTAATGAGGTAAGCGTGGAAAGTGCGCTATTGTTATGTTAATGCAATCATGAACTATGCATTATCATCCGTCCAGAACGCGGTGACCGTGTTGATTGTTATTGTCAATGTTTGAAGGATGTCAGCGACTCAGCGATCACACAAAATTGTTCAGGGCTTATTTACGCAAAAAATTAAGAACGCGGTACATGACTGCGTTGATAAGGGGGAAACAAACCCCGATCACACAGGCCTGGACATGCATTAAACAGGGAGGATTGCAAATGTGATTTAGGACGGGGAATTGGTAATATCGACATGTAAAGAAAACATCAAATTTTAGCTCAAAAGTCGTTTTACAAATTAACATTTTTTATGAGTATAAAAGAAATACCTTGTCAGAACTGGCTTATATTATGACAAATGTATCAAATCCATTGACTTTGCGTGTGCGATGATACGAATACCTTGGTCTGCTACACTTCATTTTTATTCATTTTTTTCCTCAGCAACCTGCTGCGTTGCACGTGTTAGTTCTAACCATCCATTTAATGTACCTTGGATCTGTGATCATTACGAAGTGCACTACCAGCCACTATCTTTGTGGGTGTGTCTTATTATATCCTGGGATGCATCTTAATCAAGGGCAAGTTGGAGCAAGGACCAGGGGTTAACTAGTGGTTGGTTTGTGACGTACCTAGTGAGAACCACTTGAAGTGAGAACCACTCTAGTCAAACTATTGTCATGTCAACGACAATCGCTAATATTATTGTACAATGGTGACAAAAGTGACATAATCGAAACTAACATGGAAAAACTGTGCAATGAAAATTAAATTTAGCGCTCACAGTTTCGTTTTCCACCATTTTTGTTGATAGTTGGTCCCCTCTGCACTATGCTATGGAAATTGCTATTGATAACCAGCTATAAATCGTTGCGCGACCAGCTGCGGTAAGCTGGTTCCAAATAGTGGACTAGCGTAGTCCACCATCATCGACTAGACAGAGCAGAACTTTGGTCAAACTATGGTTAACCATTGGTCAACAAGACTTCTTGCGTGAACTTGCCCTATGATGCACATGTTAATTCCAACACTGGTCTCCATTTTAATGTACATGGATGTGCGATATTATACAGGAGTGCAGTATACCAGCCGATAGCCAATATCTTTGTGGGTGTGTCTTAAATATCCTGGGATTGCGTCCTTTAGTTCGGCCCCTACCTTTTCCCCATCAACAAACACTGGTCTCTATTTAGTGTACCATGGATATGTGATAATTACGAAGTGCAGTATACCAGCCAATTTCTTTGTGGGTGTGGCTAATCCTATCCTGTGTCTTTTAGTTCGGCCCCTACACTTTTCCCATCAACGAAACTGATATAATGCACGTGTTAGTTCCAACACTGGTCTTCATTCAATGTACCATGGATATGTGATCATTACGAAGTGCAGTATACCAGCTAATTTCTTTGTGGGTGTGGCTAATCCTGGGATTGCGTCTTTTTGTCCGGCCCCTACCTTCGCTCCCATCTACAAAACTGATATAATGTGTGCATGTATCAACTTGTCTCTGTATCCAATTCCGATCATGTTCCACGTCGCCGCGCGTAAAAAAAAGTATCAATTTTATCTGGGTCACTGTCTCATCTCAAGAACTGGAACTGCCACACCATTCAAAATGGAAATCACTGTATTTTTTATTTCAAATACATGCATCGAAAAGGAATTACTACGGTCAAAACCCGGGTAAACACTCGATCTTCTCGCCTTGTATGAATATAGTTCGAGTGGGATGGGGAGAATTTCAAAGTTGCTTGCATGGAATATTTGTATGACGGGAAAATGTCAGGCAGAGTTGGCAACTGCCCTGTATATATTTATTAGCTACATCGAACGATTATTTACCCCTTAAATTTTCTGAAAATATTTTATGGGTTCCGCAAATTCAAAATGGGCATGTTCAAATATTTCGTAAATTAATTTGTGGTGATTTGTTCTTTATGTTCAAAGTCATGAATATCACGTACAACTTGGTATGTATATCGGGAACTTATATTAGGAAGTTCCGCAAACGTTTAAACACATCGACCACAGGTATTTTAAAGAACATTTCGTAAGTCTATAAATGGAAAACAGTTGTTTGGAAATAAAATGCAGAGGTTTCGCACACATGATGCTTCATAATTGAGAGAACCCAACGTAAATCATATAAAAATAACAAAAAAATATGTATATAAAAAAATCAGAATTTACTTGCTGTCTGTGAAAGAAATCTACAAATAAAGGCGGGCTACTGCTAGAAACGTACTTATTTGTCTTCAAACCCTAAGAATAACATACAATATTTAAATCAGATTTAGATCAAATTTATTTAGAGCATGTGTGGGGTTTTTGAGGTAAATTATAGGTGTGGATGCACATTTAAATACAATGACGGAATAACATCCACCCACTATTTGCAAATATCTTTATTTGCTCTTGGAAAGACTATTAGAGACGAAGATTGACAGCGGAGACAACAGCAAATACAATGTATATCTTTGTAGATAAAATGGACCAGCGGCGGTAATTTTTTAATAAGGAAATACTTTGGATTTTTTTATCTGCCGCCAGGCGGTGATTCCTTGTGAAATGAGGATACCAGCTCACAGCCAATAAAAATAGAGATTCTGTGACACGGAACATAATGATTGGGCTCTTTCTTGGTTTTGTAATGTCGACCAGTACCAATTAGGAGCTCTCATGATTGATGATGCAGTATAAGCTTTTTTCCACAGCCGGTCACCAAACAAAATATATGTAATAAAGTGCAACTTAATTCCTATGTTAACCTTCCGTAATTAAAGTCGCGTACACAGTTGTCTTAAATAATCCCTAAAATATTTTCCTTTCCCCATTAACTGTTTGGTCATTATTTTGAATAGTAATAATTTGAATATTTTCGAATTCAAAATAAGTTAAACATTCATTTGATTTGCTTTCGGTTACTTAAAAATAGTCACATCTGTAAAGGATCATTTACAGTCTTTTTGGAAACATTTCACACACTGGAATTCATAATAAATTAGGTGCATGGTCAACAACATATGTAGGCCTATACACATTTAGGAAAGCATCATGCATTCCATTTAAAAACTTAGAGATACTAGTTTTGGTGGGAAAAGGGAACAATCGCCCTCTGATTTATGCTCTATCCTGGGTTCATGGCAGCAACCTTGGCAAACCATGTGCAATGAATGCAGAATGAATGACAGAAACCTCTTGCATGCTTTCCATGATCAATAGCGAGTGACACGCGGTTCCAAAACTACCGGGGAACAAGGGCGGATCCAGGGGGGGCCAAAAAAAAAAACGAAACCAATTGGTTTTTTTTATGTGACGTCGCAATAAAGGCAGGCAATGAGTACACCACCATCTTTCCCTCAAAAAACATTGGCTAAAGTGGTCAGAAATTGCCTCAGATCGCACCACAGAGCATCGAGAATCAAAAAAAATTTCACCGAACCCCACGCCGTAATTTTTGGACCCACTTTTTTGGGAGACAAAAATTGTGTTCTGGATCCGCCCTTGCCGGGGAATTCCCCACGTGAGAAATGGCAACGTACGTGCACTTGCAACGCTCACAGTATACATGTAGCTACTTGACACATATCGATACCACAGTGGGTGCCAGCGTGTCCGTGCCAATACATACATGTACGCTGGTTTTCCACGTCGTTGCATGTGGACAAAGATATGATCTATATATAAAGGTATTTTATGTGGACAGCGAAATTCATTGGACTATTCGGTCAAACTGCAGGGAGTTTGGTAAATAAACATGAGAGTGTTCAAGCAAGATATTGTTTCATTTGACTTAAGACAGCCAATATAAATTTAGTATTTTGGTTCACTTGAAACATAATTTCTGAGGCCAATCTGCCTGTCATCTTACACCAGCGTTGATGTTCTGCAAAGAGTCCGTAAGTCCGCAAAATCAACGGTCATGAATGGCCGTTTGCAAACTGGAAGGTGTGGCACAGCTTGGCAGACGAAATGCGTCAAAATTCATGTTTTCATAATAATCATGCAGGCATATTTTATCTTGCTGTTGGCTGAAAATGTTATGTGGTTGGACATTCCTCAGCCAAATTGTGCAGGCTTCAACCCCCAAACCCCCCCCCCCCCCTCTAGATCCGCGCCTGCATAAAAAGGTAACCTTTTCAATGACTGTGCATAGGATAAATGGTTATTTGCATTGCGAATTATGAACAAAGATAACTCCAAAATGCTTTGTTCTATTGAATTAAGCATTTACAGATGTACTTAGCAGTGTTATCTTAACCAAATATGTCATTGCATGGCCAAGATCTTAGAGTGGGGGTTAGAGCCGTTCCCTTTTACCGCATCCCCTCAAGATGGCTTACACAATGAAGTTGAAAAAATGTAAAAAAAAAAATGTATTCAATAGGTCCTAACATTTTCAAAAATGTATAGTTTTGCTTATCACCAAAACACCCCTACGAAAATACATTATGAACCGCATTACACATTGCTTTTCTTTTTTTCATTTAAAAAGACAATCGTCTACATTTTCCAGGAGTTTCCCAAACCTACAAGAACATGTTTTGTGCTGATTTCGGAGTGAATTGTACAAAGTTTGCATACATGTTGCACTGTTCAGTAGTGATTCAGCAGTGGTAGAAATGTGAATGGAAATGACTGTACATTTTGAAACAAATTGTGTATTCATGTTCACATATTAGTTTTCTCTCTTTCCTCCCTTTTTTAAAATTAACTGCAGCTGAATTTTGTTGGTGTGACTGTGGATCTAGACAGCAAATATGTTCACTTTCCCAGCAACAAGCATATGTTTGCTCCGGTTCCTGTGGGAGTAGCTAGCCATCCAAAGCAAGTGTATGAGTTGTACAATGGTGGCGCTGTTCCTGTCATGTATCAACTAGATCTGACTGCTTTGGATTATGTTTTACAGGTATATTGTGGTTTTGTATTCAAGGGAGTTTTATGGACCTTTTTTGAGAGTTTACTGTACGTAAAGATCTTTTGTTTATGGTATTGGATTCTTGAAGGAACTTAAGTTGACCATGGACAGTGTCGAATGTTGAGCTACAGATTTCATGTTTGAAATTTCCATGATGTACTTATTCATAAGATGGAACTTTTGTATTAGGGTGATGTAAACTCAATAGTAGGTTTTGCCCTTCACCGACTTATTAACACTGTATACTCAGTGTGCTACCTCCCGAGTGAAAGTGAGACAAAAATCACTCAGGTGGGACTAAACCCACGACCTCCTACTTTCTAGTGCAGACGTCTTACCACTCGACCACTGAGCTTGTGGGATCGGTTGGCTGGTTCGTATCTGATGTAGCAGCAGGTACCGCAATGAAACTATACATAAGATGGAATTTTTGTGTTGGGTGATGTAAATTCCATATTAGGTTTTGCCCTTCACTGACGCATAGACACTGTATACTGTGTGTTCCCCCCCCCCCCCCCCCCCCAAAAAAAAACCACACAAATCACTTGGGTGGGACCAGCCAACCGATCCCGCATGTTCGGTGGTCTGATATAAATTATAATAATATTGGAGGGCTTTTGGGGAGAATTCTATACATGGACGTCACTCATTTTCTCTGCAGTGACCTCTCAGCCAGCAGAAAGCGATAATATGTCCTAAAAAGTCAAATTTAGCAGGGAAAATATTATAGCATTTACTGAGAAAACAGTTCGAATTTTTCAGACCAGACTCAAAGGGTTTGTGCACAGGGTTACAAGTGATGTCCAGGTATGGAACTGTTTCCGGCTTTTTTCGTGGGATACACAAATATATTTGCACTCACTAAAACAATACATTTGCACTCTTAAAGCTTGTGCAATATATTCTTGTATCCCCCTCAAAGCCATCCGATATATGTGTGTGTGTTTTATTTTGTAACATGTGTGATATTTCTTCCAGGAAAACTTCAATCACAAAATCTTTGAATGTCTGAATCCGAATGGTGAGATAGCACCAGGCAGAACCGCTAATATTGAATGGGTATTCTCACCCCTAGAGGCTAAGACGTACATGGTTAGTACAACACGTTCTTCCATCATTTGCTTGTGGTTTTTTTTAATTGCCTACAATTTTTATTGGCTTTTTCGCAAATTTGCGAAAAAGCCTTTCTTTTTGTTGTGTTTTTTTTTTTGGCTTTTTCACAAATTTGCGAAAAAACCTTTCCTTTTGTTCTGTTTTTTTGGCTTTTCCGCATAGTGCGGAAAAGCCTTTGTTTCTGTTCTCATTTTTTTTTTTTTTCCTTCTTCTTTTTGTCGCCAAAACCCCATAGACTTTGTGCACGTTTTTTCTCAGTGCCACTTTTGGCAGTAATCTTTGTCATACATCATTCAAAGTTTGCATAAGCATAGTCCCTATAGCAAAGATGTGTCCCGAAGATTGACGTCATGGTGACGTCATCGACTAATTTATTATAGATTTTTGAATATTAAATTTTTCCCATAGACTTTGTACACAGAAATTTAAAAAAACATTGTCGCTTTTCAAAGGGCATTTTCGACTCTTTGCAGTAATTCATTTACACCACTCTTTATCCAAGCAAAGACCCTAATGCAAACAACATTATGGAATGATGACGTCATGATGACGTCATCCTGTGTTGATTTATAGGCAATTTAATTGTGACACTTTTAATATTTAAAAATGCATAAGAAATCAACCGTACGCGTCCGCAGCATTCTGTTGCCGGCAAGTGGTAGAGTAGGTTCAGGTCTTTATTTCATTCAGTGTGCGTGAAATCACGTGACCCTTGCTTCCGGTCGAAAAAGGCCAAAACCGGAAGTGGCTTATCATTTAAAAGTGCTAATAGATATGAACTTGCTTTCAACGGTGTTAGTCTATTGGCCAATAGTATTCTTCAAATCATCTATCAATGACGTCATGCAATCTTCGAGCGCCCTCTAGCGACAGTTTGAAAATTTGCAAAAATGTGTTTTGAATAGATGTCTGTGGCGAAGTTTGTCGGAATCGCCTAAATATTCGTGTATATGATGACCTTGACCCCCTTAAGACGTGTGCGAAGTTTTAGGCGTATGACGTCATCAGACCGGAAGTTATAATGAAAAGACCCCTTTTCCTTTGAAAATTCCTGAAAAATCAACCATGGCAGTTTTTATATTAGTTTTTACTTTAACTGTCGACGTAAGGGTAGGTCTAAAACATTTCAAAGCTGCGAGGCAATAAGCGAACTCGGACATGGCCTGCGCACGCTCAAAACTTCAGGTTGACAATATACCTCTGCTTTAAAACATGCACAGGAATTTCACAATGTACATGTACATGCACGTACGTTGTACATACACACATACATCGTATGTCAGTCAGCCCGCAGCGCTCGCGCACGTGTTGCTGAGGTCAAATCCTGACCATAGTGACCGTTTTAGCCGATTTTCGGCTAACTTTGACAAAACATGCACAGGACGTCCACAATGTACATGTACATGCACGTACGTTGTTCATACGCACATACATCGTATGTCAGTCAGCCCGCAGGGCACGTGTTGCTGAGGTCAAATCCTGACCACAGTGACCGTTTTAGCAGATTTTCGGCTAACTTTGACAGACTTTATGTTCATGCATAGTCAGAGACGTATTATTGTTTAAAAAAAATCATAATGCGGAAAAGCCCTATGTTCTGTTGCAAACAGACATAGATCTCTAGTTTATTTTTTTATTTCTTTCTTTTTGTCGCCAAAAATCCCATAGACTTTGTACACGATTTTGCTGTGCGGCACTTTTGGCATTCATTTTTGTCACACATCATTCAAAGTCAGCATATGCATTGACCTTATTGCAAAGATGTGTCTTGAAAAGTGACGTGATGATTACGTCATCATGGGTCACGTGACGTCATCACAAACGTGCATATTTTGAAGTGCTATATCTACAGAACTGTATGTTTGATTGGGTTGAAACTTTGTATGTGGGTAGACCAGGATGTGTTATAGGTAAAACATTAGGTGACGTCATGATGATGTCATCATGCAATTTTATATGAATATTTGAAATTTTGGACCTTTTAGCCATATCTCACGAACGCAACATGCAAAATTCAAAATTCTTTTTGTATTTGGTTAGTTAGGTAATGGGTATTTGCACACACAAAAAGTGTGACGTCATCAAAAATGTGATTTTTCAAAAAACATATAAGGAACAAGGGCGGATCCAGGGGGGCCAAAGGGGGCCATGGCCCCCCCCCCCCCAAAAGAAACCAATTGTTTTTGGGTTTTTTATGTAACGTCGCAATAAAGGCAGGCAATGAGTACACCACCATCTTTTCCTCAAAAAACATTGGTTAAAGTGGTCAGAAATTGCCTAAGATTGCACCACAGAGCATCGAGAATCCAAAAAAAATTCGGGGCCCTTACATGCCTTAAGTGGGCCCGAACCCACGCCGTAATTTTTTGACCCACTTTTTGGGAGACACAATTTTTTTTTGGCCCCCCAAAATTGTGTTCTGGATCCGCCCTTGATAAGGAAAGGTCCGATCGTCATGAAACTTGATGGGTAGGTAGATAATGGTACTAATATGCAAAATCCAAAGTGACGTCACGATGACGTCATTGTTTGATTTTTTATGATTTTTTTTTAATATTTATAATTTTATTCTGCTTCCAAAATCGCACACTTCCTTTCATCAGACTGACTTTAAACTTGGTTCACACCAAGAACACAATGACAAAATGTGCATTGTCAAGTGTTGTCAAGATGACGGCATTGCAGGGCATGTGGTGTCATGTGATAAAATTATATTTTAGGAATTATTCTAAGCATTTTGAACAACCTTTAACTGCATGAAGCACTCTGACTGCAACAGGACCAACAAAACAAATATTTGTAAATTGCAAAAAATCCCTGTGTTCTGTTTTCAAACAGACATACAGCTCTAGTTTTCTTTCTTTTTGTCGCCAAAAATCCCATAGACTTTGTACACGATTTTTCTGTGCAGCACTTTTGGCATCCATCTTTGTCATACATCGTTCAAAGTCAGCATATGCATTGACCTTATTGCAAAGATGTGTCTTGAAGAGTGACGTGATGATTACGTCATCATGGGTCACGTGACTTCATCACAAACGTGCATATTTTGAAGTGCTATATCTACAGAACTGTAAGTCCGATTGGGTTGAAACTTGGTATGTGGCTAGACCGGGATGGGATGTGTTATAGGTAAAAAAAGAGGTGACGTCATGATGACGTCATCCTGAGACTTTATATGAATATTTGAATTTTTTTACCTTTTAGCCATATCTCACGAACGCAACATGCAAAATTCAAAATTCTGTTTGTATTTGGTTTGTTAGGTAATAGGTATTTGCACAAAAATTTTTAAAATGTGTGACGTCATCATGACGTCATCAAAAATGCAATTTTTAAAAAAAACATATAAGGGAAGGTCTGATTGTCATGAAACTTGGTTGGTAGGTAGATAATGGTTTAGTATGCAAAGTCCGAAGTGATGTCACGATGACGTCATCGTTTGATTTTTTTATGATTGTTTTAAATATTTATAATTTTATTCTGCTTCCAAAATTGCACACCTTCTTTCATCAGATTGACTATAAACTTGGTTCAAACCAAGACCACCATGACAAAATGTGCATTGAGAAGGATTTTCAAGATGACGTCATTGCAGGGCATGTGACGTCATGTGATAAAATTATATATAAGGAATTATTCTAAGCATTTTTAACAACATTTAACTGCATGAAGCACTCTGAAAAGTGACTGCAAAAGGACCAAGAAAACATAAAAATTTGTAAAATGCGAAAAAGCCCTGTGTTCTGTTTGCAAACCGACATACAGCTCTAGTTATCTTTACATTTGTACATTTGTCTCAAAGTGCTTTTGAGGTTTTCACCACAAAACAGTACAGTGTTATTATTTTGTAAGAAAAGTTTCCAATCAAATTCAGGATCCCAATTTGTATGGAATCCCCAGTTAAAGAGACATGTCAACTTGCTGTGCTCATCTTTAACTCACAGCGGTGCAAAATATTTGAGTCAAAAAATGAATTAAGATATTACTTAAAAAATTATCTGTTGTTGCATAGAAGTAGTACATCTAGATGGGATCAGTTTTAGTAGTGCCTTTTGAAGCACTCTGTTTTAAGGTACATATGCTTGAGTGACCTGGGCAAACTTTTGGGTCAAAAAAATGTTGAAAGGCTGTTTGGTGGATAGTTTGGTTCCATTATAATTCCTACGTTTGTGGTGCATTTCTTTTTTTGTGTACAAAATGTGGGTCGGGAATGCACTAGGATTTTTGTTTACATTCATTCCCAATATTTCTACTTTATCCCAGGTTTTTGAGCCAGTGCTTTTAAATTCTTCCTAAAGTACAAGATTTTACTTGATTTGATATTTGAGTTCAGAAAAAATAAAAGGCAAATCAGTTTAGAAGTATGGAGAAATTACAGGGGAAACTGTGTTCAGGTTAAAGTCTTTCAGGAAAGGACTGCATGAAGCCCAATCAACATGGTGGCCCTGGCAGGAATCGATCCAGGGTCGTCAGGGATGAAAAGACAGGAACTTACCAGCACATCACCTGACAGCCAGCCTTACCATCAATTTGAAAAGATGAAGTCTTTGAATGATCTTACCCACAGGTGGACGTACCCATCCATATCATTGGTGGTGATACAGCTCTTATCACATTCACTGGAGTAGGGTATGATAAGAGAATCATGGGAGAAACTATGCCACTGACAGATGGGACAGAGATTAGTAACGTACCAGCCACTCAGAGCATTCCCATGCCAGGCCAGCTATTGTACCTGAGTCAGGAGCGAGTTGCATTTAGCAATGTGCCACTGTTTTGTCAGGCCCATCGTATGATTGAGATGGTCAATCGATCAGCTAGTCACAGGTATGGATAACAAAACTAATCACTGTCGGAAGGCAGTTTAATAAATTCATCTGTATCTGGGCTTGATTTCAAGCAGCTGTCAAGCAGAAGGTGTTGCTTAGCACAGTACACTCCACAGACAGTGTATATCATATGACATTCAGATGAGAACCGTCCACAGACAGTGTATATCATATGACATTCAGATGAGAACCGTCCACAGACAGTGTATATCATATGACATTCAGATGAGAACCGTCCACAGACAGTGTATATCATATGACATTCAGATGAGAACCGTCCACAGACAGTGTATATCATATGACATTCAGATGAGAACCGTCCACAGACAGTGTATATCATATGACGTTCAGATGAGAACCGTCCACAGACAGTGTATATCATATGACATTCAGATGAGAACCCTCCACAGACAGTGTATATCATATGACATTCAGATGAGAACCATCCACAGACAGTGTATATCATATGACATTCAGATGAGAACCGTCCACAGACAGTGTATATCATATGACATTCAGATGAGAACCATCCACAGACAGTTTTCATATGACATTCAGATGAGAACCGTCCACAGACAGTTTATATCATATGACATTCAGATGAGAACCGTCCACAGACAGTGTATATCATATGACATTCAGATGAGAACCGTCCACAGACAGTTTATATCATATGACATTCAGATGAGAACCGTCCACAGACAGTTTATATCATATGACGTTCAGATGAGAACCGTCCACAGACAGTGTATATCATATGACGTTCAGATGAGAACCGTCCACAGACAGTGTATATCATATGACATTCAGATGAGAACCGTCCACAGACAGTGTATATCATATGACATTCAGATGAGAACCGTCCACAGACAGTGTATATCATATGACATTCAGATGAGAACCGTCCACAGACAGTGTATATCATATGACATTCAGATGAGAACCGTCCACAGACAGTGTATATCATATGACATTCAGATGAGAACCCTCCACAGACAGTGTATATCATATGACATTCAGATGAGAACCGTCCACAGACAGTGTATATCATATGACATTCAGATGAGAACCGTCCACAGACAGTGTATATCATATGACATTCAGATGAGAACCGTCCACAGACAGTGTATATCATATGACATTCAGATGAGAACCGTCCACAGACAGTGTATATCATATGACATTCAGATGAGAACCGTCCACAGACAGTGTATATCATATGACATTCAGATGAGAACCGTCCACAGACAGTGTATATCATATGACATTCAGATGAGAACCGTCCACAGACAGTGTATATCATATGACATTCAGATGAGAACCGTCCACAGACAGTGTATATCATATGACATTCAGATGAGAACCGTCCACAGACAGTGTATATCATATGACATTCAGATGAGAACCGTCCACAGACAGTGTATATCATATGACATTCAGATGAGAACCGTCCACAGACAGTGTATATCATATGACATTCAGATGAGAACCGTCCACAGACAGTGTATATCATATGACATTCAGATGAGAACCGTCCACAGACAGTGTATATCATATGACATTCAGATGAGAACCGTCCACGGACAGTGTATATCATATGACATTCAGATGAGAACCATCCACAGACAGTTTTCATATGACATTCAGATGAGAACCGTCCACAGACCATGTATATCATAAGACACTCAGATGAGAACCGTCCACAGACAGTGTATATCATATGACATTCAGATGAGAACCGTCCACAGACAGTGTATATCATATGACATTCAGATGAGAACCGTCCACAGACAGTGTATATCATGACCTTCAGACAAGAACCGTCCACAGCCAGTGTTTATCATATGACATTTCGGCTGGTAACCTACCTTTGCTAAGCAAATACTTCTGGTGCTCAGCTTTCTGCTTGGCAGCTGTATGACATTGGTCCCAATGCTGATGAGACATCAGATAATTCAGTATATCAAAAATGAAGAGAGTGTTTGAACTTGAAGTTAGTAAAATTTGAGTTTTATACAGATATAACATGATTTGAGAGTGGATTTTATCCATAGTAGCTCTCCTCGATATTGGAAGTTGACAAACTTGTTTCATAGGTGAAGCGGAGGGAGCTAGTTTGTCAATTTCCAGTACCCTTGGGAGCCAGTATACAAATATTGGCTGCCTTGAGTGGTGTAATAAAACTAGCCTTGTTCTTAATGAACATCCTCATGCCTCGTGCCTTTCCATTGAAGGTTACGATAGAGCAGAAGAAACTATGTGTTTCGTATTTAATGAACCGGAAATCAAAGTCATTCGTTTTGAAGTTTCCTCAGTAGGCGTACCACTACTCAATGACAAAGACTTGCAGAGCATTGAGATTGAGATTCATGTAGGAGGCATCGGACATGACGTTGTTTATGATGAGTTGATGGCTTCTAACATTGGATGACATTAGGTTGAAGTCATCTGCAAAGGGAGTGGAGATATGATTGTATTCGCATAATCCATATGCAAACATAGATTTAGAATTAAGGTACTGGAGCAGTGGGTTGAAAGCAATCAAGAATATTACGGTTGACAGTGAATCACCCTGGAATACTCCCCTCTTAGAGCAAAAAAATCTCACTACTCCGAAAGGGACCTCGCACGTACCCTGCTAAACCAGCAGAGAGGTTCCTGATTTGATTTTGGAATATGGGAGGGAATCTATTTCAATCAAGTTCGTGAAATATGAGGTCATGATGAATACTACCGAAGGCGCCTGATAGGTCAACCAGGTTACGTGTTGGCATGTGCGAGCTAGAAGGCATTGGTAGTCATGACCATCAAATTTTAGTTTGTAGACTAGTCGTTATGCCACTACTAGTCGTTCAAAGGTATAAAACTCCACCCACACAAAACTTGATACATGTATGTGTGACATCATTCCGAATTCTTATTGCACATGCACAGACCCATATGTTACATGTATTGCTCAATTGACCAGAGGTATTACTAGACAAATAAATAATGTATTACTAGTCCCGACAAGTCGACTAGTCACAACTTTTTATCACATGACTAGTTGACTATTGAAATTCACTAGTCCCACATGCCTAGTTACATGCAAGATTTTCTTGTTAGTCTTGGCATGAGCTCAGAGTTTATGCATTGTCTGGGTATGTTCAATACAGCCTGAAGAAAGGATGAAGGCTTTCTGTACTGATGTGTTGATGAAGTTGTTCTGGGTTAGTTGGCAAATCGATGTGAGATGATTTGGTGATAGACCTTTGCAATACTGCAGTTCAGGGCAATCATATGAAAGTTGGCTGGTGATGATGGGTCTCCTTTCCTGTGATGAAGGCGACAGCACAGCAGGACCATGATTTTTGTGAAGAGTGTTGCCCGGATGTGGTGTATAGCAGGCAACTTATGTTAGGTCCAAACAATAGAAACAAAAGAAGAGAATAATAAGGGTCCTTGTAAGTATAGTAAAACATGACAGTGTACTTTAACACGAGTGAAATGCCATTATAACTTAAGATGTTCCATGAGTAGATTGTGTTGTAGATGGTGACGTTTTTGTGTATGATTCTATAGCTTGTCCTTTGAATGGTATGTGACATCTGAGGCAGACAGTAAGGTGATAGACATTCAGCCAGTCACTGGAGCATTACAACCATCACAAAACTGCACATGTAAAGTCACATTTACTGCCATCGGAGAGCCATCATTCTACGACCTGGACATTGTGTGTGAGGTAAATATAGTTTGGTTTCTTCGAAGATTCACTTATCTATTGACTGAACAATAGGATTATTTCAAATTAATCACCTAACCTTAACAGAATCAAAACAATGAGTCATGTTATTTAAATCGATTATATATACAAACTAAATCAATATTAGGTTTTGCCCTTCACCGACTTATAAACACTGTATACTCAGTGTGTTACCTCCCGAGTGAAAGTTGGAAAAAATCACTCGGGTGGGACTCGAACCCACAACCTCCTGCTTTCTAGCGCAGATATCCAAATTAATAACTAATAACTAATAACTAATAACTACAGGCAAGACTTCAATTCAGTGTGTTTCATCTTGAAATCAGAACAATTAAAAGCTCAATGGATGAAGTGTACCATTATGTATGTTTTTCCCCTCAAGGTAACAGATGAGACTGAGATGGCAAAGTTCCATCAGAAGCTTGAGTCTTGGAAAAAAGAAAAAGAACGTCAGAAATATGAGTTCACCATCACAGACAAGGACATGATCAAAGAGGTTTGTGTATGGGACATTGGTTTGTGTCTGTATTCTAGATACAACACATGGAGCCAATTCCAACTATTATAAACGTTTTCACTCCATTTTGTCTATTGCAAAGTTTGGCCTACAGTTTAGAATAAGCTTAATTATGCAGTAGGGACAAGCAAATGTGCATATGGAAGACTGCTTAATGCTGCTAGGATTCTGACCTTCATCTAGATCGTGTACAATTCTGACAGTACTTTAGATGATTGTGGTTTTAGTTCTACAAAAAGATTCACCCAATATCATTTAACCCCAACCCTTAGTTTCATAAAATGTATCCAGATTAACTTGCTTTGTATGTAAACACGTACAGCAAGTGCATTGTATCATGACCAGTGTATAAAAGATGGAATTGATGGTTTTTAGGATCAAAAATTCTGTACTTTCATAACAGGGCATGCAAATTTCTATGTTAAAAATAAAACTTCAAATATGAAGCATGTTAACAGGTAAACTTCATTTATTGAAGTAAAAATGTCAGCCCTATAGGCACAATGCACCTCTGCAGGTGTATTCTCGCATTGAACTTTATTCACAAATACATGCGACAGTTAAACCTATATGGGGATTTGACAACTTTTCAACTTTTTACGATTTTTACCGAAAAGGTATTTGGGTCATTCCACCGGGTTGGGGAACAATGTGTGACATATGACCATATTAACAAAAGCATGAATGCCTTGCTAGCAGTTGTTCTACATAATATTTGTTGTAATATTTGCGCACTGCAGAAAGTTTGAAATCATTTCAATGTATTTTGCCAAAAATATGAGCAAAAAAATGTCATTTTGGATGTAACATTGACACCGTGTCAGTGTTACGTCCAAATATGACATTTGTACCTTTTTTTTTATTTCTGCGAAACATTACCCAAATTCAGTTTGCGTACTTCTTACTATAGATGCAACACAATAAGAAAAGCTTTTGTTACGGTAGTCTGGCATCATATGGAGCAGATATGAATGCTTGGTTGTGTGGATGTAACATTGACACGGTGTAAAACCCAAATGTCACACTTCCATTGAGTGATTTTTACACCGTTACATCCACACTTGAGGTATTGTTTCTGCTATATTTGAACCCCAATATACCAAAACCAAAGCTTTTCTTGGTGCTTAGGTGTCCAGTTGTAAATATGCAATGTCAGTTTGGGTAGTATTTTACATACGTGTAAAAAATGGCAATAAAAGAATATTTGGATGTAACATTTACATGGTGTCAATATTACATCCGAATTAATAAATTTTTGCTCATATTTTTGTCGAAATACTTTCAAATAATTTCAAACTTTCTCAAGTATTGAAACACCCTAAGACAAATATTATGTTGAGCAATTGTTTAGAATACATTGATACCTTTAATTATATAACCAAATATATGGATGTATAATGCACTGCTTCCCAACCCGGTGGAATGACCCATTCATGAAAGGTGATAAAGGTGTGATACACGCGCACACACCGCTGATAACTAGCCCCCATTGGCTAAACATGCCACTCCGTACTACCGGTTCCAGTGGTTCCAATGCTAGTCCGTGTGCAGTGGGCGTGGTTAAGTTCAACACGACGTAACACTTACAAATCAGATAGCACTGACCTTCTGCTCAGGCATTTATCAGCAACCACATTTCAGACCACACAAGGTTATTCATGTAACTGCTCCAATATTCAGTTCAGTCCCCATATTCAAAGTAAGGTTCAGATCATTTGATTTATCTGAATCATCAATCGACACTTTCTCACCAAATGTTATCCATAACAGACTAAGAGTAGCAGCAAGCTGTGTCGTACCCTCAGCTCCAAGCGCAGTGATAGTCCAGACTTTCAGCATTACCAGACCTTACCACCAATCAGGAAAGTCCAATCTAGTAAAGAGCTTGATGAGGCTGAGAGATTACAAGGCCTGACAGCATCAGGCACTCCAATCTGGGATAAACCAGCACCACCTGACAAGTTCCTCCTGCATCTAGGAGCCACTGCACGAACCCATACCATTGCAGAGTTCCAGAGCAACTTTCCAAATGAAGTGCAAAACTTCTTCATTGACAGGTTTGCCTTCAAACACATTTCTTTCATTTTTGATGTGTATTTAGAGATACAGTAAACTCCGGCTAAGTGGCACTCTTGGGACCCGAGAATTTGTGACAACTTACGCGAATGCAGATATCCGCTGTAAGTCGTCATTTTGCCGACTTACATGAATGGTCTTTTGCACACATGATCCATTGCACTAATTGGCTTCGATTTACCCTGGATTATCTCCTGAATGCTTGAGTTGAATCCAGCAAATTAATCCTCAAATTGTATCATCACGTTTGGAGTATTGATAGTGGACCCCACGATACATATGTACGTGCACAGCAACGAATTAAATGCATACGTGGTTCAGTATATACCACGCACGCATTGTCTGCAGCACTAGTCATTCAATAAGACGACCCCCAAAATAGACAGAGCGCATGCGTACAGACTAGAGGGGGTACTGGTATTGATATGTTCACGATGCATATGCGATGTATGCAGTAGGACACCCTTTTTCGATACCGATGCATGCAGTGATCACGGGCCGTGCGAAACCACTTTTCTCTCGACACTTTGCCAACCGCAGTACAGGAAATCGATGCCAATGCGTGATTTGTTGAATGCCGACTTACACAAAGGATTTTGTAATGCTTTTTATGGAAAGAGGACCGAGAGTAACATGACGACTTGAGCGAAATCGCGACTTATAAAAGCCGACTTAGAAATAAAATTTAATGGAAATGCATTACGGACAATCGGGACTTTAGTCAGACGGCCGACTTGAGCGATTTGACGAGTTGTACGATGTCCGTTTAGCCGGAGTTTACTGTATTCATCTGTATCTTTTTGCAAGTTTAAGAAAAAAAAGAGTTAGGTAAATAGACTTCAGTTAAAGCTGTAAACTGTATATCTGATTCCTTCTTTATGGACTATTGCACTGACACCCTAATTATTGACACGTGTGTCAGTGTAATCATTCATGGGTAAACATAAGACATGAATTTGCCTTTCAAAAGTCTTTTCAACAATGCATGTTTAGTGGCAAATCTGGCCACTACCAACCAACAGGGCAAGGGTACACTTTGACACCCATTTCTGTCATAAAGTGAGATTTGAGCGCAGCTTTTAACACACTCTCCTAAAATTAACACAGGAAGTATATAAAATCGGTACATTTCATAGATTACTATATCCACAGATACATTTTTGTGTGTGCCATGTCTTAAAAACAGATTTAAGCCTACTTTATTTCAAATATTTACTTTGATAAATGTTATAACTCCTTCCTCTATGTGACTTTTGGACGCAATACTAATTTGTCTATGTTTACCACATCAGAACAAAGCATGACATAACGGGTATTCGTGGGATTGCAAAATACACAAAAATGTACTGGCTCTACAAAGTCAGAGATAAGACACTAACTATAGACTGGTTTAGCTGTACATTACTCCATCTGAACTAAAAGGTGTTCACACAAGACGGTAATTGGTGAAAGGGTGCCCCATAACGATTGCTCAAGCAGTAATAGGCAGTATTCCTCAACAAGGTATAATAACTGTGTACTCTTTCATCGCTGAGGCTTGTTCATTCTTGACCTCCAAAGTGAAAACTGGTTATTAATTAAATTTTATGATTGTCGGCAAAGAAGAATTATTGTTTCTGCAGTTAATTCCATGAAATAAAAGATATAATGGTTTGGAGGCTAAAATTATAGATTTTAGGTATTAATTTTGGCATCTGGTTTTCACAAGGAAAATGCAAGTGTTATTGTGAGTGTTTGTTTTTAAGGCCGAGAGAAAGGTTTATATTTTATTTTAAAAAATAATACACAGAGCTTAAAAATACCATGATTCGGTATGTTTGTTATCATGTGTGTGAAATCAATTTCAGAAACGTAATGTCCATAACTTTATAGTATAACGTCCGTAACAACAAAAAGATGACGTATCCATAACATCAAAGTACCTTTTTATGGAAACTGTCACTTGTGTTTTAGAGAGTGAAGTTTTATCTACCACAACTGTAACTAAATCGAGTCACTGACTCAAGTCATTACAACTCTGGCACAATATACTGGGCATACAGCGAAGATACATCATTTCTGTATGGTATGGATTTGAGTGGATATGATATTGACTCTGTGTATTATTCTCTTGGCAGGACAATGAGTGAGAGATTTAATCTCAGCAGTCAGGAGGTGGAAAGGATGCCAGAAGTAACCACTTCACTCCAAGCTACTGAGGAGGAACGAGAACTAGTATGTGGGGTCTCTGCCAACATCATAAGGTAAAATAGTCTCAAGAACAAAAATGCAAAAGGGTAGTGCAATAATATGTTGAATTACATACAGGTCACTGAAAAAATATAAAGAAGAAATGTGGTACAGACATCTTTTACGAAATGTTGATCTAACATAGCGCCATGGAGAAAGGAAACAGTCACCACATCCCTTCAGGAGTAATACTTTTGAAAGTTTTTACATGAAATCCATGAATGACAGTCATTAAAATACGCACACAACATCAACTGAGAAAGGCCTGTTTGTTTTTCTCTAACCCATTATTTATTCAACTCTTTGTTTATCTAGAGCTCTTCTTGATGACCATGACTTCCATGAAGCACTGAAGGACATCTCTGATGAGCCAATACCCTACTTCATGCAGTTTGGTGACCGTCCCCAAACCCTGGGTCATCAATCTACTGAAGCACCCCTCACTGACCCCCATAAACCATTGACTCCACCTGATGTATTCCTACCGTCTGACTCACGCCCCTCATCTGGCAAATCAGAACCTTTAGCTGAAACAGTTGATATCAAAACTATTGAAGCCACTGCCGTCACCCCCAATGGAATGGATTTAATTGCTGTCAGGTCCCAAACCCAGTCATCTGGGGCCCTACACACAGAAGCAGATTATCAACAGAGTTTGAGGGAGGAACAGAAGAGAATGGAACAGCAAACACTGAAAAGGTGAGAAATGTTACTCTCAACACATTTGAAGTGTAAACAGATTGTGTGAGATCATGTTCAACGCAGACCTTTCTGAATGACAAGTTGTCTAGCATGGAAGGAAACTTGAATTGTATGTTAGAAGTTAGCGGCCATCCATAAAGTACGTACACACAAAATGCCGACTCAAACTCTGATAACTCAAAACAACTGTTTAAGTCATACAAAATATCCACTAGCTTCATACACAACCCTGCTTAACTCAAAACTCTGCTTATGTCAAATTTTGAACCTGTTCCCTTGAGATCCGACTTATCGAGATTTAACTGTAGTACCGAACTACTCAGCGACATTTAAAACCAACAAAAATATCATGGATGGAGGGCAGGATTTTAATGTTTTGTTGGAAATTTGGGGTAAAACGATGTCGAAGACGTCAAAATGCAACAAAAAAATAGGGATGGCAATCAACGCGACGCACCGTAAATGTGATAACCGCCTTGATTCACATATGTAAAATGCACATGATAATCTCATTTTCAATAGAAAGATACTGTTCTAATTTTTAAAAAAAAGTGTCTTTATAGAGTTTAAGAGAAGTCAAGGGTAGGTTGCAGAAGTTGTTTTAAGATGATAAAAACATTTGTGACTCTACATGTACTTGACCAAAACTAAAACGGAGCTTGAATCACAATCACCTTTTATCACGTCGCGGTCTCTTAAGTTTAATGACCTCTAAAGGCATTTGCTGTGCTGGCGGTGGCACTGGGTATACAATTTTCGATGAATAAAAACTGGTCTGGTAGATATTAGATATGAAAAAGTACATTGATCTAAAAGCAAATTATCGCTTTGTGTATTTATGCATTGGCTTGGACCCCCACCAGGAATTGGTAAACTGATGTGAATTATCTTCAGTTGACTAGTAATTATATCCCCAAAAAGCCGTAGATACAGCGCCCTCATACATTCAAGAATGAAGCCTTATCGATTCCTCTTGCAGCTTGCATGAATTCACTTTTGCCAGAAATTGCAAACAAAACGAAATACCATTACATGTATATGTTACTTTTAGATTCATAACTGAAATGTCATTTCAACTGGGTCTTATGTTTGATTAGGTTTCATAGTGTGTGCTGACCTCTTTCAAAGTTTGGTCAAAAACAAGAAATTAACTTAGAACAACCCTCACCGATGTAATACTCATTCATATTGCTAAAATTGGCTGTTTTGTTTCAGGCTGCCAGAGTTTGCAACTCTTTTAGAGAGTGTGCTTGAGAATAGCCTGTTCAACATCATAACTGAGGCAAGTCATGGAGAAATCAATTTGACAGCACGTCCTCGTCTGATTGCTCTTCCACCAAGTAGCACGCCGCAGGTAGGGCCTGATCAGCATGCTGCTGTGCCTAGTGTCAGGATTGGTTCTACTAAAAGAACCAGTAGTGCTAGCCAATCAACACAGTGTGAATCAGAGAAGAGTCTTGTTGGAGATAGAGCCTGCAGCCTCAGTGCTGTGTCAAGATAGACTTGTGCAAGCTCAGTCATTCACAAGTTTCATTTCATCAGTTTGACAGAAATGAGACATCAAACTTCTCATAAGTAGAGTGTCCTACATTTTGAACTAGAAGATTCAATTGAAATTTCTTTTTCTTGAAGATTGTATTGAAAACTGTTTAGCGAAGAAAACTTTGCATTTGTCATTAATGACTGTACCTATATAGGCACTTGTGACCTTTTGCAGGTAAATATGTTGTGGTTTATTTGTGAAGTGCTGTTGAAGATCTGTGATATCTTTTGGCAGAGTGATATTTGAACTATATAAACTAGTCATTTAAATGTGTAAATATACATAGTTAGTGCAGTAAGTCTGACTTGCAAGTATGCATTGTTGACATGGACTACTAGAGAGAAAATACTGTATTCATAAACTGTAGAGTAAAGAGTCATGATTTGGGGGGAGGGGCTCGACATCCTGTGAAACTTAGGGGTCTATCCATTATAGATTGCATACGTACATGGCAAATGACTTACATGTACCTTTAGATATGGTTTTAGGCATGTTTGAAAATACATGTACTTTGTGTATGTTATACAAGTCATCTGTTATCTTCATTCAATCATTTACATTCAGTTTATTGCTGCTGATGACCCACAGCACAGTGTTCTGCTTTTTGTAAACATGTAAATAATGTTTGGTTTTCATTGCATTAGACCTGTTTTGATGTGTTTATTAATGTTTAAGTCAAACATCCCAACTTGTCATATAGAGGTGGATCAGGAGGTTTCTTATCTGATTACTGCGTGTCTGTATTGCCATCACTTTTCAACCTCTTGTTCAATATTTTTGTCGTTTGACACCATGGTTTAGATAAATCAGTTGTTTTTATGCAAATACATTTATATTCGTGTTATCAAGGAGGACAAGCAGCTGTATTAGATACCTCTCAAAGGGCGTCACTCTCTACAGACATGTAGGGAGTGAAATTTGTGTGACGCGCATTGGCTGTGTCATATTTCAAAGAAATTTCGAGCAACATGCGCGGTGTTTAGAACATTTTGCACACTGAACACGTAATTTTCCTACAAAGATGGCTGTCTATGAGAAGGGTCTATTAGATGGTTCTGATACAAGGCTTTTAAGTATTAAAAATCCTATTGAATATCCTGTGAAAGTTCTGGTATCCATCATTGAGCGGTGAATCAACCAATAGGGTCACTGATTGAAATCACTGTCATTGCAAAACATCAAACCCTGGCTTACAATACAAAAATGCATAATGCATGTTGCATATCTGACTCAGAAATGTTGATATAGTATTCACTGCAGCAATATTTTTTAATTTTGTGATGTACATATTTACTTAAAAGAGTTTAAACTGGAAGACTTTTTCAAAGTTTGCTGGAGAGCAGTTTAATGTATCAACTCTCGGTCGGTTTGTATCAAAATAATTAGATCATTGAAAGTGTTGTAATGCACACCTATCACAGATATTTTCATTGGTAGGGGACCTATCACTAACAAACAGAAACGTGAATTGGCTGGAATATGTTGTGTATTCAACTCTAGATTTTCTTTATATTTGGTAGCAAATCCACACATCATTCTGCACCTTTCAACTTTGATTAAAACTACACTTGAATTGTTTTCACTTCTGCTTCTTTTTCAGTTCTTATTCCACAAAGATTAATAACAGTCCGTCCAATTTGAAGACATTTTCTTCCAACATATTTTTACATTTTGTATTTGGATTGAAATGAGTTTTTTATGTGAATAAATATATAAAAAGTAGCCTTATGTGTACCGCTGTGCATTGAGAATAAACGATTCTTAACTTTGCTGACCTCAATCCACATGTGTACTTGTAATAATTGTGGTAGTGTTTATATTACTCTTATCTTGGAATAATTTCAATCGAACTGGTCCAATTACATGTACTATCATCGGATCATATAAGAGGGAATTAAGGTAGCCAATATTATGCTTTCCAATTTTTAGGAAATGAATGTATTGTGCTAGTTAAGTTTTTTTCATTCTATGATCAGAATACGTCTGAAAGAACTGGGCAAGTTAACACTCAAGATTTCTGTAGATTGTTACTTACTTTTTCAGCGAATTTTTTTTTCTCAATTCAAATAGGCCTACATGTACAATAATTGTTGAAAACCATTTTATAAAATAAATGTTACGTTTGTTATCTGCCAACCTTACCGTCATGGCAATACTTCACCGACTGTCAGTGCGTGGCGTGCTAGCGGGGTGGACGAGGGCAACGTACCCCGTCCTATCACCATCACCTCACAACCTCTAGTAGTAGCGATACCCTCCCAATTTAGCATTTTAACAAGCAAGAAGATTGGGGCAACTTTGTAAAGAAAAACAATAGGCCTACATGTTTTGCCCCCGGTCCCAAAACCTGGATTTGCCCACCGAAACGAGTAAATTCATTAGCTATATCCTCGCGGATACCGATAAAACTAACCGCCGCGAGATAGTTTGATGTGCCGAGAGACCATCTAACTCCCTAAGGCCAGGTGTTCTTGATACAGGTTCAATTCTTTATTTACACGGTTTCCAGGGCGGAAACGGGGGGGGGGGTTGAATCGAAGGCACCTTGCTATCGGGGTCCGGGACGGGACATACCCCCGTAAAATATTGATATCTCCGATGTTTTCTCCTGCATTATTTATGGCAATTAGAGAATACATTTAGAAAGTGTAGCATTCCATTTACATTGTAATAGTTTTGGCCCTATTTTACGAGTATAACATTAGTGATAATAACGAGTGGCTGAACGGGGGGGGACCCACTACTGGTTTCATGGATTTATTTAGATTACTATGTTATCAATTCTCACACCTCACTTGGACATTTAATGAAGAATGTCCCCTGTAGGCCTATGTTAATGATTCCCAAAGCTACCATTATAGACATTGTCTGTAGTTTTATTTTGCTTTGTTTAACCCAACTCCATGGTAGTGGTAGTCGTCGTACGCTACGTGAATCAGTACAAGTACCCGCACGTCTACACAATATTTTGTTCTTGTTTGATTGCTTTTTAGTATTTGGCTACCAGTACATAAGATGCACTGCTGGTACTTTCTTAACATCAATTTAACATCAGTTGAGATTTTCTATCGTGTTTGCATAAAGAAATAAAACAAAAATGCGGGTTGTTTTATTCAGTATGCAATAGTCTACGAAAGGACGACAGGAAACAGTGTTAGCGCATGACATTGGTACATTTCTTCTTGGCGTTAAACAGAGATAATTTGACGATCTTTTCATTATTCGCAGTTAAGGTAAGATTTCCGAAAGCCTATATAGGGTCAGATTAGAAGCAATTTTACGGACAACTTGGAGAAGCGACCAAAATAACGCACTGCATGCTGTAAATACACCCTTGCGAGGAACAAAGTCCCTACCGGGTGAGTCAAAAACAAAATACCATGGATTCATTATTTTTTCCCCCTTATGTAGCAATCAAATTTGATACGTAAATGAAACAAGTACAGGCCTAACTAGCATGTTCTTCCACTCGTGAAAAAGTAAAATACTGAATACTGAAATTGATCCATGCTATCAGAAGTTATGCATGTTAACTAAACCCATTTTACAGCTGTCCATCGAAATGGAATGCTTAATGCTTTGAAGCTATTCAGTTGAGTGAGAACCAGAGAGGCATTCAAATACATATGAGATTTTAAATTTTAGTCAAGACTGAAACGTTTACTGAGGAACAAATCATGTGTTGTTTTCTGAAATGAATGATGATGGTGAGTTTTGTCTGGTTTGTTTTTCGTTCATTCGTGGAGATCGGAAAACCTCCATAGCTCACTGTATATTTGAAGGGTAACCATCATAGTGCGTATCGGTGAATGATCTTTGGAGGACAGCTGAATTTTGTGGTATCTCTATTAAAACAGAAATATCTTGTGAGTAGATGCAAATTACGTGAAATTTTCACAGTTACTAGTCAATAACACGTGTTTTTCTTCCTATGTTATTTGTGGAGCGAGACACATACTTTTTTCTTACTCACTTTCTTTTTTGACTCGCCCTGTATTTTCCCAATAGGGCCTACTCCGTTGTTAAAATTGAAGGGACATGACCAGTTGCTTTTTGTGAATTTTTTTGATTGAAGCAACAGAATGGTCAAAATCTTAAGAGGGGTACACAACAACTAACTTGAAGTTTCAGCTCAGTGTATACCATTTATTTTGGGGAAAAACGGAGAAAACATATGCCCTTGAATTTGTGGGGTCTGTTACAACTGATAATGTAGTAACCAACGGATAATGTATCACCAACCGATAATGTCACAAAAATTAACCGATACTGTATCACTAACCGATAATGTAGCAAAAATTGATCGATAGTGTAGTAAAAATTTACTACACAATCGATCAATTGTTTTTACATTATCGGTCGTAACAGATAATTTTATCTGTTTTTCAGCTGAAGAAATTTCTATGAGGCCTAAAAACCGCAAACAAAATTAGATTTGTAGTTTCACCTCTAAGATCTTCTTTACTAATGACGTATACTGGTCAGTATTTAACCTGTTGATACCCAGTTTGGTTGAAAACGCTATTTACTACATAAAAAATACAATACAATACAAATACTTTTGTTGAACAGAATTATTTCTGGGGCAGTTGAATGAACATATTTATCCGTCGAATTAAAGACTGCTTAAATAACGAATCGAACGGCTCTGTAACTCTCTCTGAAGTTCGAATATAAGGCAGCATTCGTTTAAAAACGAAATTGAATGGGCCTCGTGTTTATAAATTGAACGATTTTTTTTATGAAATTGGCCAGGAAAACCTATAGTTATAAAAATCGTTTTTTAGATATGCATTAATTTCATGTGCTTTTATTTGTTGCATTGTATTTGTACTTGTATTTGTGTATTTGTATTGTATTGTATTTTTTATGTAGTCATTTGTATTGTATGCAGGGCCCCAATGGAAACCAGTTTTAAACGTTTGGGCATACCCTGGGTAAAGAAATGTAATAAATTAATAACTAAATAGCTAAAATTCAATCTATGTAGCCAGTGCAACTTCAGGCCACATGTACTGTGTGTGCTCTATACAACAGGGTCCTAACAGTGACTTTTGTACGATTCATTAAAAAAAAATTAAAGACCAAATGTTGACCCCAACTTTTTGTTTGATTGTGTGTTGTAGGTTTTTTTTAAGGGGGGTATATACCCCCCTTATTTTCCACATCAGAGCATGTTTTAATTAGCCATATGGCTAATTAAAACATGCTCTGATGTGGAAAATAAAATGTCCTTACCGTCAGCAACATGGCGAGGAGCTTAGTCATTGGACCCTGTAATACCAGTACATGTATTTTTTACTCGGTATGAGACCCTCAAATGTCAACAAACACTTTAAAATGTTCTTTGTTGTGACGATTTTTGTGACAGGAACCATCGTAACTGAATGGCGTCGAGTGACCGTAATGCCGAACACCTTCCCCTGACACCGAGAGCTGTTGAAAACCACACCGAAGAAGCACAAGGTGAAACGAACACAATCTTTGGTTCGATGAAACTGCAAATTCATCCCTTAATTTATTTTACTCTCAAGTGATATTTACTTCATTCCTGCAGCATCATCAGACAGCTTGTACGAGAATGATAACTACCACAGTTTGTCCCCCGAGCAAGAGGCGCACTATCACCGCGCCGTGCTATTCCTCGCCTGGTTCTCCGTATTCGCTCTATTGGTCCTCTCTATAACCAGTTTTGGTAAGCAAATACTGTTTGCTCGAAACTGTTGTCCTATCGAAGGAATGCAGCAAAAATAAAATACAAAACTTCCCCAAGACGATAAAATATTATCATCGTTTTGTGTGCCCGGTGAAGTTTGTCTTCCTGGTTTTTTTTTTTTTTAATAATTAACATCCAATAAAGTTGCTCTCCTCGTCCTTTTCTCCTAACGAATCTCAGTCATGATATATTTAACAATTGTTGACTGCTGTGATGTGGAATATGACGTGTGATGTGGAATATGACGTTTTGAACACCCAAGCCCCTTGGGTGTTCAAAACGTCATATCCCAATCGCAGCAGTCAACAATTGAGAAAAAATGTTGCAACCTGACGCCACTTCCACGATTGTGTACAATGTCTATGGAGAGTCAAGAGAATTTTCTCTTAAGTATTTCTTAACAAAAATGGAAATGTTTTTCAGCCCCAGATTCATGTCATATCGTCATTTTTGCTATGAATGACCTTTCTTAAGATGATGTATGAAGAAAAAAAGTGGTGTCAGGTTGCAACATGTTTTCCAACATTTGTTTTGTTATATCTCTGTCTTGGATTCCTTGGATTTTGATGTGAAATCACAAAAACAAACAGCAGTAAATGCACAACACTCGGACAATCAAACGGCAACTCACATGCACGTCGCGTGCTCGAAACATCTGATCGTCTGCTAGTTCGCTGCTCCCACCTATGTGTGAAAACATGGTGAAAATAGCGTGGGTACCCACGATACAAGCGTTTCACACCGTACATATATACCGTACCGTACGTACAAAGTTATAGCACACTTCCTGTGTTGGATATTCATACAGGGAGTATGTCATGATTTTTGTATAAACTTAACACGTGATCGTTCTAGTCCAATGAAAATAAAGTATAGAGGACAGAGGCATAACAAAATATATTATTAACTAAAAAATTATTTTGGGCGCCATAACCCTTATATTATGCGATGCAAATGGTTTAAAATTTGTAAAGTAATATTATTCTATAATAATATATGGTAAATAACTCATGTATTGCTAAAGAAAAATAGCAATTAAAAAAATAAGAGGCTAAACTTGAAAACATCATTGGGAGATCAACTTAAAACGAGCAATAACAGAGTAATTAATATTCAATTCATGAAATCATTGTAATTTAATGTTGACTTGATTAAGAAAACCAGTTAATATATATTTTGTTTACCTCTGACAGTTATATCTCAATCTTCAAGCAGTGTCGCCTTGTTTGGCTTTGGGGTAAGTTTGATGAAGCTTGATACAACACTTTGGATTCAGTATAGTTTCTATAAAATGACATTTCTGCATTGAACATCCATCTCTTCTATAAGAGTATCAGGGGAACCGAAATGTTGTATTATATATAATGATTATTAACAGCACAGAACAATATACCACTGAGTTATACGATGCTGAACTGAACACGTCTCCATAGCAGGCTGACTTCACATGTAGCTTCCTGACAGTTTGATAACTGAATGTATTACATGTTTATAACACTACATACTTTTAACCACAAAACCTAACAACTTACTAGGCTAAAATGCATTGAACAATTCGAATAAATATATGCATATTGCCTAGGCCTATATCTTTAATAATTACATGGCCTAAATTTCCGGTTAGTATATGTTTCTCTGCCCACATAAATACTCTATTTGCGAATTTAAGCCAACTATTCCTTAAGATGGCGTTACCAAACTTGGCGTGTTTTCAATTTGTTGGATATGTCATGGCCGGGGAAAAGCCATTCTCTGGGCGATATTGTACATATCATGATGCTGGGGTAAACACAGTGTCAATCTGGTAATCTGTCATGCATGCAGTTTAAATTAAAAATGTTACCCTAAATATTCCTTGTCCATGGTTTAGGAAACCTCCCATAATGTTTTGATTGTATTTTTTTAAGTTCCATATGCATGTACATGTACTACGTAAAACGAAATTATTCAAGAAAAGCTAACAAGATACGTATTTGATCTGCTATTATTTTGTCTCTGTGCACCATTGACTGTAGCTGTGTGTGAAAGGAGTACTTTGGCACGATGAGGAGTTTTATCTTTATTTGGGTTGATTTCTTCCTTGCATTTGTTACAATCAGTGGTGGTTCTGTCATCACTTCTTTCTTGCAGTCGATCATAAGGCTGCATGGAATTGAAGCAGGGGACTTCTAAATGGTCGTGCAGATGTTTAATATTATGCAGTGTGAAAATATACCACATCTCCACTAATTACATCATCATCACTATGTCATTAAGGATGTCCTCACCGAAGGTTCCATCTGTCTAGTGATACATGCTAATTGATCGTCAATTAAACGTCACGCTTTGTTTACATGTGTGCTTTCCTATGACGGCCAGGTGGGATACGTCCCACTGGCTCTTGATCTCATAGGAAAGCGCACATGTACGTAACTATGTGCTTTGTACGCAAGATCTTCCTTTTTGGCAGTAGTGGTCAGTGTCATGGTGTTAAAGGTACTGACGGTAAAAGGGACTTTACGTTGAACTAAACTTGTCTGCACCATCTTTGTCTGCGTCAGGCTTGGACCGCCCGTTAGGCTTTGGGACCAACCCGTCATTCTTATTGGAAACCAATGTTGACTCAGAAGGTGCGGACGTCAAATCAGAGGCTCTAACCCTGGTGCTTTTGCGTTGTGAATTCATCTTGTCAATTTGCTAATAGTGTACCGAGGGCGCAACTCCTTCGGCAACCCTTTTCTGTTAGGGCTGGTCCCTTAGCCTTTGATGTCCATAATCCAGTCTGCAAGGCAGCAGCTCCTCTTCAGTCTGGGTATTGTCCCGTAGCCTTTGATCTTCCAGGATCATTCCTGCAAGGCAGCAGTCTGGGATTGGATTACCATCCAAGGATTAACGAGCTCCAATTGCCTGGGATTGAAATCAGAGTTGTCCTTCTCCTAGGCGGATCACCGACCAAGGTTAACGAGCTCCACCTACCCGGAGCACCTGGTTATAGGGCCAGGATCTCGCAACATTGGGGCGACTGGGGGGCGACGATTTTGCGTGCCCCCCCCCCCCCAACGCCCCCCATAGCTACGTCGCTGTGACTACCTGACATAGTCTTCACAGCAAATTCTGATCCCAATTAAGATCTTAGCTACAACCAAGGGCGGATCCAAAACACAATTTTTTGGGGGGGGGCCAAAACAAAAATTTGGTCCCCCAAAAAGTTGGTCAAAAAAATTACGGCGTGGGGTTCGGGGCCCGCTGAAGGGCCCCGAAAAAAAATCGGATTCTAGATGCCCTGTGGTGCGATCTGAGGCAATTTCTGACCACTTTAACCAATGTTTTTTTGAGGAAAAGATGGTGGTGTACTCATTGCCTGCCTTTATTGCGATGTCACATAAAAATTAAAAAAATTGGTTTCGTTTTTTTTTTGGGGGGGGGGGGGCATGGCCCCCTTTGCCCCCCCCCCCCCCCCCCCCCCCCCCCTGGATCCGCCCTTGGCTACAACTTCTTCAGGGAGATAAATTGAGGAGATGGTATCACGGCAGTTCACTGCAACATGCATGTTTTTATCTGCCATTGCAGCAGACCAAATTCCCTCTTGCTTTAATTTAAACACTATTACAGTCGTCTCCCCAATGAAATTTTATCTGTCCTAATGGGTAATTTGAAGCAGGAACTTGTAGATTGCCTTTGTAGCAGCACGTCCTGACTTTAGTTTAGTGTGTAACATTACAAGTGATGACTATCAAGCTCTGCAATAATCACATAGTGGATTTCTATTACTGTGCTTGTGTAGTTTTTTTAACAACCTTCTGTTGAGAAAAAGGCTTCAAAAATGAAGGAAAAAAAATGAATCAGAATTAAGCGCTATCCAGCGGGCACTTGACCACAAATTGCACCGGGTTTCCCTATTTTCTCAGAGTATTATATCCACTCAGCAGAAATTTCAAAAGGTCAGCTATTATATGCCCTCTACTAAGATTTTCAGTAATTTTGATGCTCCAAACGAAGAAAAAAAACCACATACAGCAAATGGTCCTTAGAACATATACGAATTACCAGGAAATTTTCTTTTTTCTTTTCAGTTGGACGCATTGTTAGACGTGGGTACATCGCTGGTAGTTGTTTGGAGGTTTTATGGTTCCAGCCAGACGGTGTATTCAAGAGAAAGAGAACGAATGTAACTATCTGCTTACAATCTGCTTGCATTCCTCCGCATGGGAATTGGATTGCTATCAATAGCAGAAGGGTCTGTGTATTGAGTCTAGGACCCATGCACGTTCATTTCTACCCACCTTTGCACCCAAAAAAACACCATAAATGGCACTCGAATAGTTATGTTTGCGATATAGCTCGGATATTTCCGGGTGTAAATTGTGTAATTAAGCAACACAATCCTTGTCATTGAGTTTATCAAATCAAGGCTCTCGTTTTTCAAACTTTTTTCGGCTTGCGCAGTTTCCAATGTATCTGTATAATGTCTGTTTTGGAGTATGCACTCGGACAAGGGTATGGCTTTGTTGCGTCATGTTTTGTGTTTCTAAGTGCCAATTTTGACGGAATACGATCTTTAAATTCTCCACCCGTGCTCGTCAATATTTTCTGCTGACAAAATTCAACTGGCATTTTGTAAATTTTGATTTTCGCCCATTACGCTTAAAAAGATACGCCTGAATTATTTTCGGGGTGAAACTCCAAAATATAGCAAGGGAGAGCAAAATTAAAAAGAAGTATCAAAATAATCGGGTCAGGGGACAGACAAACATCGAGTTTATTTCTAGTTCCAAAAACATACTTTAAAATACGGTTAATAAATCGCGCCTAAAAAAACCCAAACAAACCAAAAGACACCCCAAAAATGAATAAATAAATAAACAAATAAGTAAATAAATACCTAAACAAAATATAAAAACAAAACACAAAACACTAGGCCTACATCAGCTTATAGTTAAATCACAAAATTACAATGTAGAGTGGGAATTTTTCACTTCAAATTATTCTTAGATTATATTGTTCGTGCTGATGGGTTGAGTGTTTGAGAAACCCCAGTGATGTCGGCTTGCATCTTGTGTGGCCATGAACTTTTTTTTGATTTTATACTATTTCAATGGGACTTGAATTGATTCGGTGCAACCTGAAGCACATTCAGTCCAACATTTAACAAGTGACGTCATTCCCAGCATGTCATCTGAGGATATAACTGTGTGTTGTTGTTTTCTCCTTTCTAGTGCCTTGTTAGTGTTGGCAGTTCTCTTCATCGCCGCTTCCTTGTTGGTTGGCATCAGGTCTTTAGTTTTTGTCATCAAAGGGAGCACCGTGGAAGAGGTAGACTATAGATAGCTAACTTATCAACTATTACTTATTAGTGTCAAGTTTAAAACAAAAGGCCATGCCTTTTTCGTTAATCAAGGCTTGCTTATAATATAGGCCCCATATTGTAATGTGATCATAGGTGATAACTCGTGCGACTAGAAATAATCATTTAACATATTATCGAGATAAGCATGGAGGAGGACTTTAGTTTCTTCTGACCTCGGGTCCCCCCAACGACGGCAACAGTCAAGGGAAACATGACATGACATATATCTCAGCCACGGAGATTGATTCGGCAAGAATGCAAATAGCCCCTTATCTGTTACATTTCACACTCCACGTCACTCTGATCATCAATTTGTAATGTTTTTTGAAGATCTGGAAAATGTGTATTTCCTGTTGACAAGAAAGAGTACCTAGGCTATATACATAGGCTAGACTGATTCTTGACTGATAAATAACGTAAGAGTTTGAAATTTTACTTGGCATTGTTTGTTTGGGTTTTTTGTCTGCAGATACTGGCTCTGTACATCGTGTCGACCATTGCAGTTGTAATAAGTCTTATGCTTTTCTTGGGTAAAATGCACGTGGGATACAAGCTGAGGAGTAAAACTGTCATTAGTGACGGTGAGTATACACACAATCATGTTGTCTTTTATTTCATCCTCTTACGAATATACGAACATTTCAGTTTCCAACGTAGGATTTCTAATGGGCACATTTTAATTAAGGAATGAAAAAGGATTAACTTTTATGGGGCAGCAAAGTCGGGCCTCTCAGCAAGTGCATCGGCATTATATTATAATAAGTGTTGCACAGAATGCGATATTTGTGACTACTTGGTGTTTTTTTTCTCTTCACTGTCAAACTTGAAATATTTTGTCAAATACTGAATAGAACACAACCCCAACTCTCAACCCCACATTAATGAACAAAATGACGGTTTCAGGTTACAGTTCTCTTGCCTGTGGAATAGGATCACTAGGAGTGATAATTAGCGCCTGCATACATTCCAAAAATAGTAACATATACTATTTGGATGACGTCGTCGGCTTCACCATGGCTGCACTACTGTTGGGATATGGAATCAGGTAACTAACGCTGCAAACTGTAATCAGCCCCCGTATTTTATGGGTTTATTCGTTGTATTTCTTATTTAACCTGGAGAAACATTTCAGTGGATCAAAGAAGTGTAAAAATATATATATGTTATAAAATATAAAAAAATCGACAAATGGAACATTGAAACAATAAATACCTCATATATCCACCATGAACATTAACACCAAAACACACATTATAGGAAATCGTAACCAGTCTTTGAGATAGGCCTAATGATACACAGCAAAATGCACGGAGGGGGAGGCTGCTGTATGGGCCTCGTGTGCCAACAAGAGGGCGCGTTTTTGACAAAGCGTGTGCGTAATGCACTGTACTGGTTCGCGCGCGATATATGCACAACTTCCTGAATGTGCAAAAGCCAGTATTAGATTGCAGACCATGAACAAACTTTCATAGACCCCAATGATAGATGCTCCCATTTCAGAAATTCGGGAAAAATACTCACAACTCTCCAAGGTGTTCGGGACACACATCAAATTAAAGCTTATTTCATCCTCTGTCATTTTCTTTTTAATTTTTGGGGGGTCAACTGATGACTTTTAGGAGAAATTTCCATCCGAAGATGATCGCCCCTGAAAATAGTCCTGAAGCTCATCGCCATTTTGATAAACGATGGCTACACTCCATTTCAAAATAGAGCGATTTTAGGGCCACAATTTCATCCAAATTGAACGGAACTACAAGCTCACAGTCCTGTGCACGGCTTCCACCCATATTGTTTACAGACCCTCAAGTTCATGGCCCACAGTATGCTCAAATTTTGAGGGCATGCAAATCGCAATTTCGGACCGATTTACTGGCCTGCACCCTTTAGCCGCAGCGTCTCGAAGGCGTCGAATATGTTCGAAGTTAATTTGCGCGATGGTCTCCCAGACTAATCCTCGCCCCCCCCCCCCATAACTTTGGATTATTTGAAATACGCAGTTCTCCCCCAAACTCCCATGTGGCACACCGGGGGGGGGGGGGCTCGGGGGGCTCCCCCGAACTGCCCCCACGAGGTTGTCAATTTGGTGGGGGCAATATTTTTTTAGTCCCACGATTTGACCGTGGCGATATTTCGGCCTATGTGGCCTATTTTCGAGTACGGGTGTAAATGGCGCCACCAACGTCAAAAAGTCCCCCCCCCCCAAAAAAAAAAAAATTCTACTGCCAAAAATTGTTGGCAACATTTTTTCTTCTTCAACTTCTAAAAACAAAATAGTGAACCCCCCCCCCCCCCAGCCAAATTCTGGGTACGCCACTGCCCACTCTTCTTTTCTGGTCGTTGAAGGGGTACTTGTGCACGGAGCCCATAGGGCCTCACAAACGTTATTGAATCTTGAATACCGGTACTCAGACTAAAAGTCTGCACTTGCGCCTCCTATCGATCGGTTTGGTTCCATAGATCACAAATATTTTATATATTGCATTTCATAATAAGGGGTCTGTTTCATTATTATGTTCGGGGCCGCTTGTTCTAATGTCCAATGTACAAAGAAACAGGAAATCATGCGTTTGACCATAAAGTCATTAAAGGCTGTCGATGTGAATTTTCTTTCGGCACACAAGTCTTACCTCCTGATATGAGCCTAGATAGTTTGTTATCAATCATATATTGTTCCTGGTCTACCAGGGGTCCTATATGTATGTAAATATTTTTAAACAGTAGTTTAAATATATATAAAGCAAAGGCACAAAGTGTAGTTTCGAAATTACTTGCAGATTGACTGATTTGGAAAAAATAATGACAAACTATGGAGGTCAAACTATTATGAAATAAGGTTATAGCCTGCGTGCTTAAAAGTAACGTATAGTATCAAGCGTTATGTGAAATTGTTGCGCCTGGTACGCTGTCATTTTCAAGAAAAGAGGAACTTTTGTGTCAATATTAACGATGGTTGGGCACAAATGGACATTGGATGGAGAGACAAGTTATACAATTACGACAAATGCAACTGTTGTACATTGTCTTTAAGTTTGATATTCAAGTCAGCTGCACAGGAATAACTGCAACGGTTGTTCTTTGTTTCATTCGGACAGCTTACTGATGAGTAATTGGCAGAAAAAAGAAAGCGACATTTGAACGCCGCAGTGAAACGTCACAGACAACAAGAACAGTTGGAGTACCCAGGGAGTACACAATCATGATGGTTAAAGTGCAAGAGTCGCCACAGCTTGGACTTAATATTAATCTTTTTACTGTTCATACTGGATGATATAGGTTTTCTCATCTATGTTATTATTTATATTACACAAATTCTATATTAGCTTTGAGTAGTGATGGCAAGCTCATCACACTGAAGCGTGCTCAGGTTGTAGAAATTAAAAATTTCACAAATATACACCTCAAAACGCTAAACCCTTCAAATTAATGATAATTTCTGTAAAGTAATAATTTCCGTGACAGTATACTCTGTGAATTATATGCGTCACCTTTTTCTTTATTAGAATCCCCATTTATTACCGATTCATGCATCTTAACCCTAAAATGGCCATGGTATTCCGGTTCTTCTCAGGGGCATGCTTCGGCCCATTTTATTGAAATTCGGCATGGTTTGTTAATTGACCAATATATAGGCCACAACAAGAGGGCGCTCTACTTTGGGCTTCACAGTTATTTTAACACATTTCACAAAAATTCCCTATAACGATACTTTTATTTCGTCATCGAACATTGTCGAGGCCTACCACCAATGGTAAAAGTTCACTCGTGAAAAAAAGGAACTCGTAAAAAAAGGGGCGCTCGCGAAAAGGACGCTCGCCCTCATGAGGTGTCTCGCACTATAAACAAACATTTAAACAAAAAACAACTGTCGACCCAACCCAGAAAATGTCAATATATATAAGTAATAACAAATATCTATTGCAATGCAGGCCTACTGATTCATCTGTTGAGTGTAATTTGACCTGTGATAAAAATCTGTTTCCCTTTTTCTGAGAGTATCATGGATGAAAATATTTGATTTAAGGTAATATAATACATTTTTTTATTGAAAGAGTAAGATTACTTTTGTTGCAGGAAAGCAAAGATTAAAATCCAGACTGATCACAATCAGCCACTGCATTCAGTTTTCATCTAAGCAGCAAACATTCATGGGCGTCGCGGGGGGGGGGGCGCTTGTTAATTTGATGGGGGGGGGGGTAGGGCAAATGCTCCCCTGCTCACGCTCGGATAAATTGAGAATATAATGAGAAAGTTAAGGAATTTTGGGCAAAAATTTGCTTTGCCCCCCCCCCCGGAAAAAATCCTGGCGACGCCCATGCAAACATTGCATTGTTCAGTTTGTATTTGGGATAATTCAAGCATTTCACGTGTATCTGTTGTACAGTGGCGGAGCCAGACTCAATTTTTTTTGGAGGGGGGGGCAATTGGGGGTCAAGGAATTTTTTTTGGGGGGGGGGCTGTCAAAATAGAATCTGATGATATCCAAAATCTAAGGGAAAAGTAAACTTAAGAAACAGGGGCAGATCCAGGAATTTTTGCGGGGGGGGGTGTATCGTCAGCAAATCATTGCTGAAATGTAGACAGTTTTTTCTTTCGGACACTTGGCTCCGCAAGATCAATAGGTTTGGGGGGGACTTGTACCATAGTTTCAATGGGGGTGATGTTCATATCCGACGATTATTAACACTATATTACAGAATAGTGTACAAATACCCCCTAACCAAGTTGGCTATATGTCATTTTTTTGTGCACAGGCGGACATTATTACAAGTATAATTTTGTTGGGGTGTCGGGGGGGGGTGGGGTTCGCATTATGTTTAATGCATTACTATGGAAAAAAATTTGGACAGAGCTGGGGGGGGGGGGCTGGACACCACACCTTGTTGGGATGTTCGAAAATAGCCCATCCCCCCTGGTCAAAAAGATTGCGCGTTGCGCGTAGCGCGTATTGTTCCAAAGAGAGCGCGCCGCAGACTTGGGTTCAAACATTTCGTGAAGGGGTAGTTTGGAAGAGAGAAATACATTTTCCACCAATTTTGTATTGAAATTGAAGTTTATTTCAACTGTGTTAAGATTTAAATAATTCAAAATATTAAAATCAAGCAGAATCTGTGGTTGAAGTGTTATAAAACAAATATTGAATGCTTTATCTCGTGGTGAAGTAAAACTAGCCTCCCTCGATGATCCATGGACCATTCTATTTTCCCTCGGCTTCGCCTCGGGAAAATAGAATGTCCATGGATCACCTCGGGAAGCTAGTTTTACTACACCACTCGCGAGCATTCAATATTTGTATAATATTTTTTTAACGATGTCATCATCGAAGCGATAGTAAATCATGAGCGTGGCCATGTTTGTGAGTGGGACCAGTAAATTTGCCAATATACAATTATTGAATGCTTTCAAAATATGTTTATGACGCCTAAAAAAATGACGCCTAAAATAACGTTATTGATATAGGGAACTGTAATTTATAAGGAAATATTTAGGACAAATTAAAAAATATAATGACGTCGTAGACAGGATTCGAACCTGTGCGGGGAAACCCCATTGGATTTCGAGTCCAACGCCTTAACCACTCGGCCACCACGACAAAGTCAACCAATGTAGGAAATATATTAATATAAACAATTAAATATCTAATGAAGTACTAGTACGGTTGAGTTGCATAGCAAAATGCACTATTTGTTAATAATTTTGCAGAGTTCACAATTATTCAATTAATACCATTTTTCTCTCTTCTCGGTAACCTTAACCGTTCGCCCATAAACTTGCACGATCGCCTTCTGTGCGTACGCGCGTAGATATCCAACATCGTCCCCAGAGTATGCTTTCAACCGCGAGACAATAGCAGCAGTTAATGGAACCATGATGGGAGCATACTGCTCAACGCTGTGGAGACGAGATTGCAAATGATATCAAGACACTCCGCTGGAAAAAGTGAAACATTGGAAGTACATGTATAGTTCGCTCGTACCCGTACCCCCGCCCTGCAAACAGCTGGACGCTGGTCAGGGCTGACGTCATTTGAGCTCTCATAATGCATTACAACGGGTAATGCATTATGCATGTCTACCAAATCGGTAGACAAATGTAAAGAAAAACATAAGTGTTCTCCACGAGATGGTAAAGGCCCTCGCGGCTTCGCCGCTCGTGCTAGTCATTTTACGTGTCAGCATCCGGGGTGCGTCACGTGTCCGGGCATGGAGGAATGTGTTCTTATTCCTCCATGGTCCGGGTAAGCGCGTGGGACTTGACTCGACTAAAGGCTAGGGTACGAGCGAAGTAGCTGCTCATGGGGAAGGGCGCCACCTCGTTTTTGGTAGGTAAAAAGCATTTGCTCCAGTGTAGTCACTCAACATGATAACTTAGAGCAAAGTTCGGTTTGGTGACTAGAGTCGACTAGTTGTCAGGGTGACCGTTTTAGCCGATTTTCGGCTTACTTTGACAGAATTTTTGTTTAAAAACGAGTTTGACAGAAAATTTGACAGAATGTTTTTTTGGCAGATTTCTGACAGCATTCTGCAAAAATGGTTATTTGACAGAAAACCAGCAAATTTGAACAAAAAAATTTACATTTGCTTAAAAAAAGCTTAAATTATGCAATCTTTTCAAACAAACCTTTGCATAATGGGACAGGTTGGCTGGTGTAAGTGCTGAGGTTCACTGGGAAACGGACTTCGTCGTGGCCGGGTTCCGCGTTTTCCCCAAAATTTACCAAAAATGTCACAACATCTTTGTGTGACTAGATTGTTTATTATGTAATTTGAATCATAATTAAGGCAATACTACCAGTCTGCATGTGATTTTAAGTGTTTATAGTGTATTTCAACTCGAGTAATTCTGGGGAATTTGGCAGATTTTTGATAAATCTGACCGATTTTTGATGTGCATTTAGCAGAATTTGGGGGGGGGGGCTGGAACACTTCATGGGGGGGCGTCATGTAGATCAATGATAATTTTTTTAGAAACTCAAAATCTCAGTGGGGGGCGACAAGGTTTCATGGGGGGGGGGGGGGGGCTGGCTACGCCACTGCTGGTAATATTAATGTCCGCCTTGCACAAAATGCGCACAGAGCCAACTTGGTTAGGGGTATACCGGTGTCATATGAAAATCGGACTCGTATGAAAATCGGACTCTTTTTCCTTTTATTGGTTAAAACCCTCTCATGTGACCGGTCCCTCTCCTAATTATCTATGCATGAGCATGCTAAATACCACCAATGAGTCCGTATTTCATAAAACCTAAATTCATGCTACAACGGGTATATGTACATTATTCTGTGATGTAGGTTAATAATCGTCGGATTTGAACTGTACCCCCATTGAAAGTATGGTACGAGCCCCCCACCCCACCCCCCGGATTTTACGGAGGAGAAGTGTCCGGAGAAAAAAAACACGTGTCTACATTTCAGATTTTTTTGCCGATGAAAACCCCCCCTGCGAAAATTCCTGGATCAGCCCCTGAGTTTTACCAACTTTTGTTTAAATATCACGGGTAACATTAACAATAAATTGTAGGTTTTGTTCAACGGTGTTCAATAATAAATCTCTGCAATAAGATTAATTAATTATTGCGCTGAACAAAAGTAGAGAAAATAAAAGAAAATAAACATGACGTGCCAACGTTTGCTTCGTTAGCAACGTGAAGGCATGTTATTGCTATACATACTAACTAGATTAGTCGATTTACTAGATAATTCTAAGGTTGGGATAGTAATAATATTGTGCCAAAAAGACTGCTGCATGGAACTACTATTCCACCCGCTACTTCTTGCCACTCAAGAAAGACCGGACCTAAAGTTCGTGTTAACATTTGCAAGAAAGTAACAGTAATCCCATGAAACTTATTCCCTTTTGATCAAAATATTAACAAAGCCCACACTAGAAATTTGACGACTATTCATGCCTTGTTGAGGATTTCTTTCTTTTTTTTTATTCTAACTGCTCACCTACTCTTCTCTATTTTTTTCTCTTTTGATTTTTTCGACTCCCTTTAATTTGTTTGCACTTGTGTGATGTGTCCCTTTCTTATATGTAATCATCCTCTGTTTCGTGCTCTGTTTGCGTGTGTATTTGATACTGCGGAATTACGGGCGGCGCGGGGATATGGCCTCGTTCGTTCTCCTGTCTTGAGTTATCTTTTGTGTGACTTTTCAGTGGAGTTAGCTCATTTTAATGTTTAATATTAGTATATATTGAAATGAATAAAATAATTATTCCCCCCCCCCCAACAAAAAAAACCCCAATCTTTCCACTTTTCATTATGTAGACATTGTTAATGGCTTATTCACCTCAGGATTTTTTCTTAGAACAGTACAACAGTGTTTGAATAAACTAATTGTAATGTTTTTTTTATTAATATTTTTATTAATAACTTTATTTGTTTCTTTATTGTGTGTATTTCATTGTGTATACAACGCTTGTGATTATGTCCACAGTCCAAGCTTGTGCGTGCATGCATATCATGTGCATGCATGTGAAGCGCTTCATTTTTTTAAAAATTAATAATAATAATGTTATTTTTATACATACAAAAAAAAGCGAAGGAGATCAAACAAGCATTCTATTCATGTTCTGAGCAATGCCTTGGAAAATGATCGTTTTCGTAATTCATGATAAAAATGAAGTGTGGATTTTGTTGTTTTTTTTACGAAAATATTTTTGTTGGTGTGTCTTATTTTGTTATTGACTGTCTGAAGTAGCAGTAATTAGTATTACTTCAGTGGTAAAACAATTGACAGAAATTCACAGGAGAAACAGCTGGAGTTACCGTCAGCCCTATAATATTTGATCGTTGATAAAATATAGGGCTGAGGTAGCTCCATGCAGCTACAGGAGAACACGTCTTGAATTGGCAGGAAAGTTAAGTTTGATTTATTTTCAGACGCTTCGTTTAGCTTTTTTCATTATATCGTTCAAGTTTATTAAAGTTCAACATGACTGTTAGTTTAATCAACTAAAACAATTTCACTTTGACTACCTCAGAGGCAATTCTTGCGGTGAAAACAAAGGTGTGTTTTCTTGTACAATTCGGCTTTATATTTCCCATGGTTGCACACAATCTGAACTGAAACCTGCCTATATACACTTATTTTTTATGCCTCCTCCAATCGCGTTGTGTTTATCGTGTACACCACTTCACTCTGGTTGTATTATACGCCTGGTATTAATAGAGATCAGTGGTCATCATACACAAATCTCTGAAAGTATAGTGTGCATGCAACCGCCGCAGCTAGCTAAGAACAGAGCCTTGCGGGGGTAAACCCGATAACATTTCGCTTACAGAGGCAGGGTGAATCAGATCATGCTTTGCAAACATAGTGGAGTCCACATCTGGGAAAAAGATGAACTTCTTGAAAAGGTGCAGGCAAGAGCTATGAAACTCATCCCCAGCATCAAGAACCTTTCATAATGAACTTAAGAATGAACCAGACTGAACCTGACTACACTAGAAAAGCCTGAAGCAAAGGGGGACCTCATCCAGACTTAGAGGATCATGAACAAGATAGACCAAATCAACTCAGACTCCATGTTTCTGAAATTAAAGCTACACACCAGAGCTCAAGGGGACATCCACACACATTTTCCAAGACAAGACCAAGACTTGACACCGCATGCAAATTCTTCTGCAGCCAGAGAGTATAGTACTTAGTAGCGCCTTGGAATACCACCCACACTCCCAGGAATTAGGTAGCCTAGCCCTACCCAGCCACCGTTTTCACCACAACCGTATGAAGATGGAGGTGTGGCCCCAAGGTAAATCTGCTTGTATCCCCTTTTATTAATTTCATCCGTCTCTTCATTTCGTCATCTTTTGACAGTTTTTTTTTTCACAATCATCACCGAAAATCCCGCTAGTACAATTCTCATGTGATTCTCCGTAGTTGACCACACGCGTTTACCTATCCAACGCTTGGGGCGCCTTTTCATTGACCAATTTAATGACTCTTAGCGTTTCATTGGATGTTGTACAAAAAGATGCCCAGTGTCCCATCTTTCCCGGCCCACGAAATTTGATGTACGCCTAGCATTGATGAGTGATCCGAGATCGTCGACGCGTCGAAGTCGCCCAACAACCACCAACATGCAGGACATGTGGTGTACATGTGCTGGAAACGAAGGTTAGTGCATTTTTGCGTGCATTTTTTTTTATCGGATTGGAAAGAATGTCAGATTTAGGACTTTTTACTGGACAGTCAACTTGACCGTTTGCCAACTCGACTCGAACCAACTAGACCGTTCACCAACTCCACCGTCGTGCACCGACTCTGCCTGATCTGGCCTAGCCTCATCATGCATCATGCCCATAAATGTGGCCTATTTACTGGACTGCCTCCGTAAACATAGGCCACACAAAACGTGTCGCACTTTGCCAAATTTTGATTTTCGCATTTAGGCTTAGTTTGTAGGTTTTTTTTGCTTTAGAAGCATACTCACCCTCTTTATAGGCTAATCAGAAAGTGCTGCCTTTTTCAGATGTATATTTTTCGTGAAATTTCCAGATTCATTTTTAGTTTATTTATTTTACACCTTTGCGTATCAAAATTTCAACATGAAATTTCACAAAAATTATACATCTGAAAAAGGCAGCACTTTCTGACTAGCCTATAAATTAGCTGGAGTTACCCAGCCCTGAGTTTTATCATTGGGTTGTCATCTAGGTGACAACCCAATGATAAAACTCAGGGCTGGGTAACTCCAGCTACCTATAAAGAGGGTGAGTATGCTTCTAAAGCAAAAAAATCCTACAAACTAAGCCTAAATGTGAAAATCAAAATTTGGCAAAGTGCGACACGTTTTTGTACATGAGGATGTGTGGCCTATGTTTGCAGAGGCAGTCCAGTAAATAGGCCACATTTAGGCCCAAAAAAAAAAGTCTCCGGTTTCTGGTATGGAGCTTGCCCCAAAAGTGGTGCGGCGACGCTGCTTTTTTTTTTTTTTTACCTGGTTTTTTTTTTTTTTTTTTTTTGGCTTCAAATGTCGGCTGATGACTGCAAATGGTGCCCGACTAAACTTAGTGCAAATATATGGGGGTCCAGAGAGGACACATAAATCTTATTCTCAATCATAACCCCTTCTAAAAACACGTTAGAATTGTGCAGCAGCAGAATTCCAGTCAAACCAGTGAGTTTGGCGGTTTTGAAACATCATCTTGTATTGAAAAAAAAACTTTTTCATTTTGCCGACGCGCATGGCTACGGCAACGCGCGCGCATACCAGAAACCGGAGACTTTTTTTTTTTGGCCTTATGGGGCTAGATCTGGCCGTACCATCCTACAGGGTGACCGTATTAACATGATTAAGTAGCGAGACCAGCGGTAGGGGATTTTTCGCCTTTCAATCTGACACCACACTAAAAGTAAAACGTTCTTTTTTTATAACTTCTGATTTCTAGTATAAATACTGCTCGAAAGTCAAAGAAAACTCTCCAAAATGAAGAGGAAAACATGCTTGTTTAATTGATGCCATTTAATTTGAAACTTCCGTACAATTTGAAGGAAAATTTGATCGGTGAACTTCTATATTTGCGAGAGAGACTATTTTTCGAGGACGCGGCCATTTTGTTTTTTAAACGCATGATTGTGTTCTCGTTTTTACTCGTTGTTCGCGCGAGAGTTCGGTTAATGTAGTTTTTCGTTGAGATTGGTTTGGACCTGTAGAGAATGCATTCAGCTTTCTGATAAGTTTAGTGCAATTTTAAGGTAAATTCAATTCAATTCAGTTCACTTTATTTTCCACATAAAAAAAGACAATCAGAGTTAAATGTATACAAAATATGTGGATGGGGATCCCTAAAAAGCAATGCTTGTCGAGTAGTGATCCCCAGTTACAATCATACAAAAATATTACAAGTTACACACACAAACTAAACATAAAGACATAACACCAGACATGAATATTCAAATAACATGCAGCTGCAACCCCATGAAAAAAACAACAACAACAAAAAACCAAAAAAACCAAAAAAACAATTAAAGGGAAAATACAACATTTGCAAACATCAAAAAATAAAACTACCAAATCATTTGGAAATACCTTGCTGGACTGTTAGTGAATGACAGTGTAAAGCATCCTGTAAAATCATGGCACTTGGTATACTGTCATTTTCAAGAAAAGTGGTATTTTTGTATCAATTTCCAACGCTGATCGGCCGATCAGCGTTGGAAACAACTGGGTTTTTTTTTTCAAATACTGGCCCCAATTGACCATCGCACTTGTTTGCAATCGATTACAAACCTATGAACGGGTACGAGCCAGCTAGACTGGTTCCATGACCTTACAGTTCCCCAATGTATGTAAACTGATCTGTTTCTTCTTATATGGAGTCAGGGAACCAGACTACAGGAAAATGATCGTTTTTCTTGGTTTTTATAGCATTTTCGAACCCAAAACCTCAAAAAAAGTCAGTGTAACTATATTTGCTATATATTTCCAAGCCCCCAATTCCATCCATTTCTGAAAATTACAGCAAAAGCAAATGATGTATATTCCCTTTAAGTACTTAAATATTTTTCCAATAATTTATTTTTGTATTTGTGCTTAATTAAAGAGCGAGAGACTGGAGATATTGTTTAGGGAAAAATCAACCGAGCTCCACAGCTTGGGACCCTCATGCTTTACAGTTGCCCTAGAGATTGCAGTACGTGCAAAATGAACTTTCAGTGAAAAATTGCGAAGCAAACATTTATTTCTTGGTTCAAAACTAGCTCTACTAAGGGGCAATTCCACACCAAAGTGGACATGACACCAAAAAATTCAAATACATGTGACTTAAACAAATTTGGCATCAAATGAAAGCTAAAAGTCTATATTTTCAAGATTTGAAGTCGGAATTTTATTTTTTATACATTTTGGTACCAAAAAATAGGATTATGTAATAATCCTGTTTTAATCCTAAAAATGTGATTAATAGTGATATAAAATATTCTACCAATAGACACACAAAATATGTACTAATGCCATACATTTCTGTCATGAGAAAGTATTGGTCTTGAAAAACCGACTAAAACTTGTTTTTAATATTTTGCGTAATTTGTTTCGCTTCAGTGACTTCTAATATTTCAGCCTTCGAAAATGTCCTTCCGTTACCGAAAAAATACATATTTTTAATTTATTTTTAAAATTTGCAGTATGAATGCATTGAAAGTTACTGTGCAAAGCAAGTTTAGGTAGGCCTTCAATATGACATTATAACTGACACTGCTGTACTTCTCGTTTTTTAATTACAATTAATTAAATCACGTCCTTCCGTTACCAAATTGGTAACGGAAGGACAAATCGTATTTTTATCAAATGTTACGATATTTGCGCTCATGTTTGAAAAATGAAAATCACTGCAAATACATGCATGTATAATGAGCATTGAAAGGACATTCATGTGACCCACCTTCACAAAAGCGGGATAAGCAGGGCAAGGTGTTTATTACAAAGGAAGGCACAGGCATATACAACATGTACAATGTACATGCTGATGTACCAGTACTTGTACATGTATGGAGTTGTTGCAGAAAATCAAGTCATAAAGTTGCTGCCATCAGCATTCATGGACAATAGAGAAAGATACGAATTCTGTGAAGCCATTCCAGAAGCAAATTAAGTCAAAAATGAGATGGCAGAAAGTACCGGTACTTTGGGGCACTTTCATTCAATTTACATGTGTAAGACATGTGAGGTGCAATCTTTGACAAATTATGCCCAAGTTAACAATTTCAGTTTGGATGTTTATAAATTAATTGTTACTACTCTAAATTATTGTAATTTGATTTCCAACATTGATTTTAGAGTCCAATTAAAAGCAACACCTAACTGAAGCCATCAGTTCTACTGGTAGATGTTTTTACCTTAAATGTACATGTAGGCTGGTCGCCCCCCCCCCCCCCCCCCCCACCCTTTAGGTAAACCTTTGAACCTACCGGTATTATGGTTAAAAGTTGTTGGTGAACATGTAACCAATATACTCAAGAGTTCAAATACTGTGTATTTAAACTTTTAAGGATTGAGGTGATGGGTTTGAAGTCTATTTCTGTAGTAGTCCTGTGTTCGTGAATTATGTGTTTTGGGTTGTTTTCGTTTTTCTTTTGTTATCATTAATTAGCAGGCTTCTATCTTTATCTCACTAGTTTCTTGGGTATAATTATTTATGCCGGGTCTGCATATTGTTGATTTCACATTCAGTTACACATTTCAGCAATTTGTTTCACTTGTATAATTAGTGTAAATTCACATTTTGTTCATGCTATAATTGAGTAAACCTTTTGTCCTTCCGTTACCGTCCTTCCGTTACCAAATTATAATCTGCTTAAAAAGTTGTAATTATATTACCGAAACACTAAAAGTCAAATGAAAGGCGGTATAGTATAGATAAAGCTTCAGGGATTCCATTTTCTACCTTTAAAATATAATTGCCCCATAAAATTCACAGAGTTTACGCAAAACGCGAGTAAGTTGGAAAACCCTTGTCCGTTTTACCGTCCTTCCGTTACCGACCTCATTAATATTCATAATTCATAAACGGGAGGCATTCATGCCCCCCAAAAGTGTAGAAAATGAAAGTAGCATTATAGCAATACAATTGTGACATTTGTTTGCTGTAACTGTGAACAGTGTCTGTGATACACACATTTGAAATTTTGTTTAATGAGTGAAAACGTCCTTCCGTTACCGTGGAATTGCCCTAAGGCCTAAAAAAAAAAAGTGTTATGTTGGCGTAACCCGACCGACCCTTAAAATGCGGCCGACCCTGGATATTTTTTTTTTTTTTGAAGGGAAGAAATATAATTAAAATCTATAGAAATGAATTTTAAATACGTTTTGAAACCATTTCTGACCGTTTCTCCTCAATTGTATGACGATAGCGCGGGTGGAACTTTGGAGTGCACAATGTTTTGCACCTTCCTCTCCATGACACAACGAACATGCAGAACATCACGCAGGCCTACAGGCAGTGTGCATGCGGAGATCGATGCACTATGCATGCATGATAGATGCACATGTACATATGTACAGTACATGTATAGCCTCGTCCTAGACTGTTGCACGGCGCGAACTGCTACATATTTATTCCATGTTAACAAAAATAGTTCATTATAATATAAATTATTTTAATTAATTTTCCACTATT